CAAGTGCAGCTTGCCCCTTAAGAATCTGCAGCCTGCTTGTATCATCTCCTCTTAGGGTTAGAATCTGCTATTCATATCCAATCTATGTGTATATTAAGTTTAGTTTTTGTTCTTTGTTTATCTGCTAGGTAATCTGCTTTGATCTGTTTGCTATCCCTTATAATCACTTAAAATTTATTTTTTGTAATTAATAAACTTGGTTTTGCTTTATCTAAACCAGTGTGTGGGAATCATAACTCCGGGGCAAAAGGCTGTTGCATATTCCTCTCCACATTGAGGGAGGGGGCAAATTTTATGAGCATATGCTGTACAGTTCCTTGTGCAGCACAAGAGGGTATAATTTTGGGTTTATATTCCAGAGGGGGTGCGTGCCTGAGAAGCTGGGAATAGCCTTCCCATGCAGGGGCTGGTCGGAGAACCTGCTTGTAACTGCAGCTGGGTGTATCCCTACCTGTATGTATGCTGGTGAAAGTGAAGGCTGGGGAGTTTTGTAGCTTGTCACACCAATACAGTGTGAGGGAGAGCCCAGGCTGGTGGGTCAGGTACCCCAGTTCCAGGTGGCACCCTGGGGAGAACCTGTCACAACAGGTATTTGAACTCAGATCTTTCAGTTTTGTCACAGCTGTAAGTGCTCCAGGTGTAACAACCATAGATGAGATAGTTTTGAAAGTGACACTGAAGAAAACAGGAAGAATACCACATATTTGTTGTTTAAGACCACTAAAATGAGTTGCTGTGTTGCATTTACTGTGGCTGAAAATGAAATATCTATTCCAACACATAGGCTGTGGAGCAGGAAATGCAGCACAGGGAAACTCATTAAAACTGCCTAACTGATACCTGCAACTTCATGGGAATTTCAAGGGTTTCTGTGTAATCCTTCTGCCAGTTGGTTCATGACAGGCAAAAGAGTTGAGTTCAATATATCTAGGGTCCCTCTTAATAAATAACTAAACTAGCTCCCAGAAGCCTTGGAAAACTAAACATATCCTCCCTAAGTGTCCTTACCTGGCAGAACTTACCCACCCACAAGCGCTCTAAGTCTAAGAGTATGTCTACACAGCAACTAGATACCCACAGGTGGCCCATGCCAGCTGACTCTGGCTCGCAGGGCTTGGGCTGCGGGGCTGTTTCATTGCTGTGTAGACATCTAGGCTAGAGTCTCAGAGCTCGGGCTCCAGACTGAGCCCAGAAGTCTACACAGCAATGAAATGGGGTCAGGAAGAGGGGCTCAGATTCCTCTAGAGGAGCAGAACTTCCCCAGATCCTGGATCATATGGGGGATAGGGAGAGGGCTCATACTCCCACAGCGGGGCAGGGCCCCACATTTCCCAGCACATACATGGGGGCTGGGAAAAGGGCTCAGATCCCCCTCAAGGGGCAGGGACCCTGTGACCCCAAGAACACCTCAGTGCCAAATGGCAAAGTGTTCACTGTTCTATAACAGTAAGTTCTGTCAAGCTGGACAAACTCACTGCACTGAACACACTACTTTCAGAGTATTTATCCATAATATCTTGCAACATAGGTGCCAGCTTCCTCCAGGCCTAGGGAGTGTTCAACCCTGCATTCTGTACCAGGCCCTGCCCCCACCCCACCATTTTCCCCAAGCCCACCCCCTCTAACCCTACTCTGCCCCAGGCCTCGTCTCCACCCTATCCCTTCCCTCAAGCCCCCACCCTGCCCTGCCTCTTCCTCCCTAGTCCCGCCCCCTCCCCTCAACATGCATCATCCCCACTCCTCCCCCTCCCCTTCAGAGCCTCCTGCAAGCCGCAAAACAGCTGATCACGATGGACAGGAGGTGCTGGGAGGGAGGGAGAGGCGCTGATTAGCAGGGCAGCAGGCACTGGGGGAAAAGGGGATCTGGGTGCCAGTGAGTGCTAAGAACCGACTAATTTTTTTCTGTGGGTGCTCCAGCCCTGAAGCACCCACAGAGTCAGTGTCTATGTCTTGCAAGGTATCAAATAAAAGCAAGTGACACACTGGTCATAATTATCATTGTAAAACATATGTATGGACACTGTATAAGGAGTTGTGTATGCATACTGAAAACATATTTTAAAGTCTGTAACAAGGCAGAGTTGACAAACATGTTTTCTTCTAAACAAAGCATATCTATTCACCTATCTCTCTGATGTGAATTAAGCCTTGTAAGTCAGACACAACGGGAGCCACATTTGCATTCCAAGACAAGACTTGTGAAGTCAATAGGAAAGGAGCACACAGGAAAACAAGCAACAGGGGAGAAGAGTTTTATCTGAGGATGCACTTCAAAAGGCTACACTTCAAAGGTTTACTGGACAATATCTGTGGGGACAGGGACAGCGCCCTGGTTATCCATCACCGAGATAGCAAAATGGATGGAGCTTTCTGCTTCCAAGAATGGTGGATCCCAGCCATGTGGGCTGGTGATGCTGGAAGAAAAGGCTTAGAGGAGAAACTACTTTAGGCAAGGATTGTAATCTGTTAAAGTTAAATTTTAGCAACTAAAAAGTGTGTTATATTTTTGTTTTATATTAAACCATTCTACTTCCAATATTCTTACTCACTAGTCATTTGAATCTTTGAATATCTGTTCTTTGTTAATAAACTTATTCTTGTTTTTATTATAAATACATCTCAGTTCTGTGGTATTAAGCAAAGTTTGAGTCCTCAGCTGAATCAAACAAGTGTACACTGTTCCCTTTGGGGACAGAAAACCTGGTAATTTTTGTGAGGGTTCAGTGACAGGGGCTGGAGACAGCAGGAGACACTTTTAGAGGGAGTTCTGGGGCTGGGGTATATCTACAGCTCCCTCAAGGTGAGGGAAGGTCTGGCAGAGCCCAAAGGACAGTGCTTGAGCCGCTGAAGGCAATGTCAGGGAGCTGACACCCAGCTACCACAAGAAAGATTCCCTCTTGCTGAAGGCCAGTGCTACCAAGGTGACTCACAGTCCTGGGCATCTTGAGAAAGCATTACAGTCCCTCTGATCCTGCTACAAATATGGGAGAGGAGAACGTGGGGTTGACAGGCTCCTCACCCCTAAATCCCTCACTTCTCTTACTGCCCACCCTTATGTCCTCATTCCCATCTCAATTTATCCCCTCCACATTGCAGTCCCATCCCCTTCTCCTATTCCTCCCAACTCCTCTGCCCCCTAATCCCCTCCCCTTTACTCTCCTAATGCCAATGCTCCCATGCATTGTCTCTCTCACATACACACCCTCCACTGCTCTGATCTCCCTGCCCCATTCCTTATCTCTGCACCAAAAGTTGTAAGAATCTGCATATAAGACACATAAAGTATTATTTTTCAGAAAAAGAAAAGGAGTACCTGTGGCACCTTAGAGACTAACAAATTTATTTGAGCATAAGCTTTCATGAGCTACAGCTCACTTCATTCCACTGAATTCATCCGATGGAGTGAGCTGTAGCTCAGGAAAGCTTATGCTCAAATAAATTTGTTAGTCTCTAAGGTGCCACAAGTACTCCTTTTCTTTTTGCGAATACAGACTAACATGGCTGCTACTCTGAAACCTATTTTTCAGAAAAGAGTTACAACCCCTTCTAACTGAGAATCAGCAGAGCACATTTTCCAAAAGTAAAAAAACAAACAAACAAACAAATAACTCATCAAAGGCAGATAATAGCAACGTGCCTAAAGATCATTCTCAGATTTCTAGCATGGGGATAGCTCAGGTTCGAGGACCACATGATGTCCCCTTGAGCTATTAAATTACTAACACAAGCTGCCTGCAGATATAAGAACAGAGGAATGGCCATGGTGGGTCAGACCAAGGGTCCATCTAGCCCAGTATCCTGTATTCCAACAGTGGCCAGTGCCAGTGGGTACCATGCCCTAGCTGAGATAAATGTCAAGAGACTGAGATCAATTGCGGGACAACCAGAGGCATAATCTGATCCCAGATGTGCATTAAGAAAACGCTGTAACGGTCTGTTGATTTTGTAACATGCTGTAGGTTTTTTGGGGTGAGGGCTGAATCTCAGGAGCCCCTTGCTCAAATGACCCCACATCTGGAGCACTAACCATCCATTGACAGCAAATTTCAAGTAAAAAATATGAGCACGCCTGTGGATTTCACAGCATTTAGGAGTTGTCCTTAAAACAGAAAACGCATCTCAGTCCGTGAGCGCGAGTCTACAGCCGCGCGGCTGCTGGGCTGGGCGCAGTGAAAAGGGGATTAATGCTGTGGTGTCAGAGTAACACCTGTGTTAGTCTGTATTCGCAAAAAGAAAAGGAGGACTTGTGGCACCTTAGAGACTAACAAATTTATTTGAGCATAAGCTTTCCTGAGCTACAGCTCACTTCATCGGATGCATGTGGAAACTGCAGAAGACATTATATACACAGAGACCATGAAACAATACCTCCTGGTCTCTGTGTATATAATGTCTTCTGCAGTTTCCACAGTATGCATCCCATGAAGTGAGCTGTAGCTCAGGAAAGCTTATGCTCAAATAAATTGGTTAGTCTCTAAGGTGCCACAAGTACTCCTTTTCTTTTTGCGAATGCTGTGGTGGAAACTGCCTCGCAATTCACTGCTGCCCCAAGCCGGCAGCTGCAATTGTGTGTGTGGTTTTCAGGTTGGGCTTTTGGCACATGATTTAACACTGCAGCCGGCTGCGCTCGCTCCGAGCTCGGTGGGTCGGCAAACCTGGCCGCCCCGGCCATTAACGGGCTGCAGCGAGCTCCCTGCCTCCGGAAAGGGGGGTTATCAATTGACGCCCGACAGCGCGGCTCCTAGGCTGCTCCGCGCTGCCCGGTGCGCGCGTGGAGACAGGTGAGGGAAGGTGGGCTGGGGGGCAGGAGGGCACGCGACGGGCACGCGCTTCACCACCCGCTGTGTGCGCGCGCGCGCGCGCGCGAGCGGCGGTTGGGGGGATGGAGGGGGGATGGAGCGCGCGGCTCCGGACGGGGCGGGAGAGGCGCGCAGGGGAGCGAGGGGGTTAATGCAGCAGGTAACGAGAGGGGCGCGGGAGGCTCGGAGGGGTGGCTGGGCGGAGCCCGGGGGCGGCGAGCTGTGGGTGGCCGGCCGGGGATACCTCCTCCCCGCGCGGCCCGGGTGGGTGCGGGGCGAGGCCGCCCTGCCCGGCAGGAGGAGCCGGAGCCGGGGCCGGGGTCTCTGATTGGGCTGCGGGGCTGGAGCGGGAGAAGCGGGCGCCGCGGCGGGTAAGTGCGAGGGGGCGGCGGCGGAGCCCGGCCAGAGCCGGGGGAGTCGCCGCCGCCGCCATGAGCGCCGGAAAGTCCCCGGGGCGCAGGAGGAGGAAAGCGGCGTGTGCCCCGCAGGTACAGACCCCCCACCCCCGTCCGGGGCAGCTGGGGCGGCGGCGGGCGGGGGGCGGCCCTGTCTGGTGGGAGCCGGGGACCCCTCCTGCCCTGCCGGGGTGGGGCGTGGGGGCGTAAGGCCTGGGGTTGGGCTCGCGCAGCCTGCGCTGGGAAGACCCCCCCCCCAGTAAGACCCGGCGCGAGGCGCGGGTTCCCCCACTGCGGGTGACACGAGAGCGGCCGGCGCCCCGGGGCGGTCGGAGCGCAGGGCGCTGAGCGTGGGCTGGGGACCCGTGCCGTGGGCTAGCCCCGCTATCACCATGGTGACGGCTTGACTCCGGCTGGCGGGCAGGGGGCATGGAGAGACGTTGGGCTTTGTTTGGCGTAAGGGCGATTAGTGCCCTTAGCTCCTGTGCAGCTTCCTTTATTTTTAGAAACGCCTAATCGAGCTGTATGGCGTCTACAGCCCGCTTCTGTGCAGATAGTGTCGTTTACTTAAAAAAAAAAGAAAAAAGAAGCCATTATCAAACTGCACCAGTCTTGCAGAATATCAGAATCTCCTGGCCCAGGCACAAAAGCTGCTTGCCCACCATTACGACTATCAGGATGGAAACACTTTATTTTATGTACTGGTTAACTTCTTCCACCCACCTCCGCCACAAGCACCCGCCACTGCCCAGGCAAAGATAATTCTGAAAGGTTCTGCGTAAAGGTATTCGGATACATTTACTTTCTAAACACAAAAAGAAAAGGAGTACTTGTGGCACCTTAGAGACTAACCAATTTATTTGAGCATGAGCTTTCGTGAGCTACAGCTCAAATAAATTGGTTAGTCTCTAAGGTGCCACAAGTACTCCTTTTCTTTTTGCGAATACAGACTAACACGGCTGTTCCTCTGAAACCTTTCTAAATACAGTAGGTAGCGGGTTTCCCACAAGGAACAAATCAGCAAGTTTCAGTGAGGGGCTATCAAAGCTTCACTTCTATTTTTTATTTAAGTCAAATAGATCTGATATACTAGACTTATAAAAAATACGCAAAGGCATATATATTCCGGCTCTTTTATCTGTTAGTTTTCAAAGATACTTTTAAGTTTAAAACAAAAATGAGCAAGGATAGTTTTCCTTTTTTTCAGGGCTGGATCCAGTGAATTTTCTGCTGATTTTCATAGGAACAGACTCTAACCCTCATGCAGTATTTTGCATTTAATATCTTTCATTGTAATCTGTGATAAAATACTATTATTTTACATTCAGTTAGCTGATTTTAATTTTTTTATGTGCCCATTACTAGGAGATAAGGTTGCATTTTGTCTTTGATCTACAGTATTTCCTTCGGTTTCCTTCCATAGCATGACCACTTTTTTTTTTAACTGAACCAATTTGTCCCACCCATATTTCTGGCCCAATCCTGCTTCTTTGAAATCTCTGGGAAAACTCATATTAAATTTAATGAGAGCAGGATCAGACCCTTAATTAGAGTATTTGTCCTATTTTTTTCTTTCAGTTTGTCTAAAAACTGTTTGAACATTACTCCTGAAGGCATTCTACACCAAAAATTCGGTGCCAAAAAATTAAAAATTCTGTGCACAATATTTTAAAATTCTACAAGTTTTATTAATCAATAAATAAATGCAGAGGTTCCACCATGGCAGTGGGGAGCACAGGCCACTGGCTGCATGAAGGTGGGAGATCACGTTGCAGCCCCCTCACCCCCAGGACAGGGACTCAGCAGTGAGGCTGCACCCGACCCTGACACAGCACAAGGCTGGGCTTGCCCCAGAAACACCTTGGGGCCATGCCCCTCTGCACCAGGTGTGGGGCAGGCAGGCTCAACCAGGAAGGATCCAAGTGTGGAGGGGCTTAGTGTGGGGGATCCATGTGTGGGGTGAGAGGGTTCTGTGTGGGAAAATCTGGGTGCAGGCAGCTCAGTGCGAGGGGGTCTAGGTGTGGGGGAATCTGGATGCACAGAGGTTTGTGGGGGTTCCAGGTGCAGGGGCAATGGGACTCTGCAGGGGCTTCCAGGTGAAGGTTGTTGGGGCTCAGCGGAGGGGTCTGGGAGTGAGGATCTCAGCCGGGCAGGGGGCTTGGTGGGGTGGAGGTCTGGGTGCAGCTCGTTGGCAGTCAGTGGCATGAAGGTCTGGATGTGGGGGCTCAGGGTGTTGCAGGGGTAGGGCATCAGGGTGGGGGTTTCAGTGCAGGGAGCTCAGTGGGGGTGGTCTGGGTGCAGGGGTGGGGTTCCAGAGGGAGGGGGTCAGGGTGCAGGGGTTGAGGTTCAGTGGGGTAGGGTTTGGGTATGGAGGACTAGGGGGGTTCTGGATGTACCACGTGAGGCGTGGCAGGGGTGTCTGGGTATGGGAGGTCCAGCTGCACAGGGGTTGGGTGGATAGGGGAGCAGCTCCCCATACAGTGATCCATCCCCCCACAGCTGAGGAGTGATGGGGACAGGAAGCAGGGGAGGATACTGAGCTTCCTGCAGCTGGGGGAGGTTTCTGTGGGGTGGGTCTGACACAGCCCCAGCCACTCCTTGCAGGGGAAGAGGCAGTCCCATCCTCTCTTGCCTCCAGCCCAGCCATGATTAGCAGCTGATCCCAGCTCAGGGTAGGAGCCACAGGCTGGGGTGTCCCCAGCCCTGCAGTGATTTACCTCTCCACTGGCTGCTCTGGGTGCCTGAAACATTGTACCTGTGCTGCTAGGAAGTGGTGTGTGACTGCTCTTGCAGCTTCCCTGTCAGAAAGTCATTTTTCTGCAGGGAAGCAAAAAAATCTGCAGAGGACATGAATTCCGTGCACGTGCCGTATTCCCCCAGGGGTAGAACTTGTGGTCAGTTTTTGCCATCTCTTTATGACAATAACTTTCCTGATCATTTTCAGTATGATTCTGCAGAGATGATTATTCTACCAAGTTTGTTGTTTTATAAGATTATAATAATGTATCCACTACTGCCTCAAATTGTTCGTCATCTGTTTTGAGGTTCTTGGATTTATTATTAATCATCAATTACTATTAATCTTGTTTTTTGTGGTAGTGCTTTAAGGCCAATTAAGAATGGGGCCTCACTGTGACTGTCTCTGCCCTGAAGAGTTTACAATCTAAATAGACGAGACAGTTTTGATTTTTTTTCAGGGCTAGATCCAGTGGCTGTTCCGGGACTACTCCAGCTGGTAGGAGCAGCTGCAGAAGCAGGGACCTTCGGATTTTTAGATAACTTTCTACAGTTGTTTTGACAGGACCTTCTCTGTCCTGTTTTAACTGGCTGTTTGTGCCGAACCTCTTTCTCACAGTCTCTTCAGGTCTACTCCTGTTACCTGTTTCTTCCTTGTCCGATCCCCCTCACCTCCATTCCCTTCCCTTTTCTTTCCATTTAGCTTACCCCTTCAGAAGGAACCCCTCTTAAAAACAATTGTAAAACTAATATGATGTCTTCTGCCATCACACTGTTCACTTTGCTTGTGTGTTATACCCTTTCCCCCATGGGGTGTCTCCAGCTGGTTTCTCTTTATTTTTTTGCTATCATATTTGACACAACTGATAGGAGCATTGTACTTCAGTTATGTAGGAGGGCCCAGTCCTGCAAACACTTATGCACATTGAAGTCAATGGGACTGCTCACATGTGTAAAGTTACACACTTGTGGAAGTGTTTGCAGGACCAGGATATATATTTGATATACAACATAAGGGTATGCACATAATTGGAGTTTTACCTTTGTAATCAGTCTTCTGGTTTTACAGCAGGAATTTGTTTCTCTCCTATGAATTGTCAGTACAAGGTTCTATTTTGGGTCAACTGCTTTTTTCCCCCTTTAGTCTGATTCTTTTAAGTATCATTTATATGCAAACTATACTTAACTTAGTTTCTTTATTTTTTTAGGACAACAACTAGCTGCTTTTTATTGCTTAATATGGACAAAATAAAAATGCTAACAAAACTTTTTTGCTTCCAAACTGAGTTATTTTATTTTCTGCATTAAGGGCCTGATCCAGTGCCTACTGAAGTCAGTGGAAATATTCCAGTTGACTTCAATGGGTGTTGGATCAAGCCCCGACTCCCATTTCTACAGTTTTGGGGTTTAATTCTGACTCTTATGTTTTACATATTAAGTCAATAAATAAAATGTATAGAATTTAATATTTGTAATTTTTTGTCTTTGTTACTAAATCATTGATGTATGATTCAGTTATTTCTTGGCTTAACTGTTGTAATGGCTTTCTTGCCAGGTTTCCTACTTTTTCTTTTTGGTATACAGTCTGTTCAGAAATATGAAGCTTGTTTCATTATGTTTATTATTATTCTATTACTGCTTTATTCGGGCCATTACACTGCCTAAACCTAACCTGTAGAATTAAGTTAAATGTAATGCTTTTTGTATATTTACACTCACTCATTTTTAAGATTTTGTTTATTCTTCTTATTGCAATTTACTCTAAGCTTCAGATTTGAGTCTTATTGCTTCTTTGCTACTAGTTTTCCACATCAAAATATCAGGCCTTTGTAGTGTGGGGCCCTGGTGGTATACATTTGTTTTCTTTTAAAAAAAAATATTTTCCACTTTGTTGAATGTATTTTTGGGTTTTGTCTGTTGAGATTTTTTTTTATATTTGTTTTTTGTTTGATATTTTGTTATACTTGTAAAAGATGGTAGATAATATTATTAATAATGAAATTGATGCCAATGTCAGACTCAGTTAAAACAAGATCCTCCCCACTCTTGCTTTTTAAACTTGTCAAAGGAACGGAAAATCTATATGCTTTACTGCTAACTTCCTCTCCCCTCATTCTCCCCAACCAGTGGAGCAAGAGACCAGTAATGAAATCTAGGTGTCTTGCATGGGATTGTAGAACAATTCCACTAAACTACCAGACTAACCTAAACCCTTTTGTTTGTTTTTAAAAATGAAATGGACAAAATTTATCTTTAGCTGCTCTGGTGCATTCATGAATAGTGTTATCTCAGGATGTTCTCTCAGTGTGCAGTGTTAGGTACCTTAAGGGGAAATATTGTTATGAAATATCTTCAGGAGTATGTCTTCTCCCATTTTCAAAGGTCACACTTCATGACTGCATGCAGAAATTCATTCCACAGAAGTACTACTTATGCTGTTTTCCATTCCTCCAAAAGGTAACAACAAGAGAAGACCATTTTGATATAAGGGATCCACCGTCTGACAGTGAGAAACCTTTTAAATTGGAAGGAAAGCCTAAGAACAAAGACAAAGTCATCCATAAATTGAATTTAAAGGTTGTTTTATTTTTCTACTTTTTGTTTTTTGCTTTGGTGACAGTTTGTAAGGAACAGGAATTCTGATAATTTTATATAATGAAATGATAACTCAGCAATAACATCTGTTATTTAAATCAGTATCACAGTCTGTAGAGCTGGCAAGCCTTTTCTTACCAAATAGAGTTACAGAACCAAATCAGTTATGGCGTGATATCCTGACTATGTTGCATCATTTACATTATAGCATTTTGTCAGAATGTGATAACGTTATGTAAATGTGACTTAACATCCTTTAAATATTGATGGAACTTCACAAAACAAAAAACATCATAGTTCAGTTAGTGACTTGTGTATATTCATTTGAGGTCAACTACTGTCATTCCTTCATCTCTCTGTTGTTGGGAGAGAAGGGAATCTTCCCAGGACTAATGGCCAGATTAAGAGGAAATTATGGTTATCCACCCAAGACTTGTTCACAGTCCCAAATATCTAAATGTTTCAGCTGAAATCATTAGCAGTGAAGTAGTTACCAATGTTGCATTTAGATTGACATAATTTTTTTTTTTTGTCTGTAGAGTTGCAGGCACTTCCCCAAATTTAATGCACAGAGTTAGTCATTAATTTATCATTACACATTTTCCAGTTAATATGCTCTCCCACAAAAACTAAAGACATCCTAAACCATCCTCAGTGTTCAGCCCCTCTACTTAAGTGCCTATGAGAAAAGAGGGGTTTTGTAGCATGTCTGGATGCTAACAAATTCATGGTCTGGTTATCGAGATGGGACACTAGTTCTAGAGTCGAGGATACGCTTCCAGGAATTCCTTATTTATGAGAAAAGACTAAATAAATTTGTTAATCTCTGAGGTGCCACAAGTACTCCTTTTCTTTTCTCGAATACAGACTAACACGGCTGCTACTCTGAAACCTTATTTATGAGGAAGCTCCAGCTCAGATGTAGGGTTGCCAACTTTCTAATCGCGCAAAAACGAACATCCTAGCCTGGCTCCTTCCCCGAGGCCGGCCCCCACTCACTACATTTCCCCCTCCCTCGGAGGCTCGCTCCCCCCCCTCACTTTCACTGGGTTGGGGCAGGGAGTTGGGGTGCGGGAGGGGTTGAGGACTCTAACTGGGGGTGTGGGCTCTAGGGTGAGGTCAGAAATGAGGAGTTCAGGGTGTGGGAGGGGGCTCTGGGCGGGGGCAGGGAGTTTGAGTGTGTGGAGGGGTGTGGGCGCTGGACTGGGGGTGTGGGCTCTGGGGTGGGGCCAGGGATGAGGGGTTTGGGGTGCAGGAGGGGGCTCTGGGTTGGGGGGGGCTCAGGGCTGGGGCAGGAGGTTGGGGCTCGGGGTTGGGGTGCAGGCTTATCTCGGTCAGCAGTGCAGCAGGGCTAAGGCAGGCTCCCTGCCTATCCTGGCTGTGCTGTGCCCCAAAAGCGGCCAGGAGCAGGTCCGGCTCCCGGGCGGGGCGGGGGAGGCAGGAGGCTCCACATGGCTACTCTCACCCACAGGCAGTGCCCCCCAGCTCCCATTGGTCATGGTTCCCAGCCAATGGCAGCGCGCGGAGCAGTGCTCAGGGCAGGGGCAGCACATTTTTAGTGCATTATAGTAGTCTGGTGGCTGATGGTAGCAAGGTCAGCACTGGAAAGGTTACTCTCTTCTAGCAGGCACAGGTGAAAGAACTATTTTTTTTAATTACAAGTGCTATTCTATCTTCCAGAAACAGCCCAGGTGCTAATATGATTCCAAGATTGCTAATTTGAATCATATGTAATTTGAATCACAAATAGTATTTTGAGAGCACAAAGGCTAAGCGTTCTCTTGCTGAGTTTAGGTCAATAACAATCACTGAGGTACTTAGGCTGACCAGTTAGCAAAAAAATCGGGACAGGAGGTGGGGGGTAATAGGTGCTTGTGTGAGAAGAAGACCCAAAAATCGGGACTGTCCCTATGAAATCAGGACATCTGGTCACCCTAGAAGTACTAGAAGAGTTGGGACCCCACAACCTGTTTTTGGAACCTGTGTCCTACCTGGCTGGGGAAGGCTAAAAGAGAAAACTTGATCCATTGCTGGTGGATATTGTCAAATGAGAGAGTGTAGAATGCCAGTGTCTCTTAGGAAAGCTGTTGCTTGGCTTTTTCTCAAGAAACCAGCATTTGATGTAGTAATCTGGCTCCTGTTTAGTATCTAATCTTCTGTCTGGTTAAAATTAGATAGAATGTTATAGTGAGACAACCTTCAGAATACCTAGATACCTCGAGTCTTCTTGACCTTTGTCAATTTAGATATGTACCCTGGTGCAAGACAGAAGCTGCCATGGTAGTATTGGTGGTAGATTTCCTACTGATGGATAATCTGAGATCTCCATACTGATATTGTTAGGTCTGCTGGCTGTTTTCCTATCCTGTTGATTATGGAGTAGTAGTCACTTATCTGCAGACTAACGGAAATGGACAAGCAGTTCCTCAGATGATACTATCTTTTCCTTATTGAGTGTTCTCTGATGGTTGTTAAGGGCAATAGCATGAGGTCATTTGGAGTTTCACAATTGGTTCCATCTTGTGTTCCTTTTTCTTCAATGTATATTTGAGCTGGGAGGACATATGGGCAGCAGTAGTGATATGTTGATAATATCCAGCGTCATATCCTTGTTTCACTTGATCCAGCAGCCGGTGCTGTTGAACGAATTGGCGCATGGGAGGAAAGTTTGCTGAAGTGATGCTGGTCGGTTGGGAGAAGAAATCAGAAGATATTGTGTATATTATGTCTGTCCCTCATATTTAGCAAGTGTGCCTGCCATTTGTTTCTAGAGTTCATAATCTACAGATGCTTTTGGACTCCTGATTGCTGCTGAATGATAATATAGTAACATTGCCCAGGAAAGTTTTTCTCCATCCTTCTGTGGCTAAGAGACTGCTACCGTTTTTGTGCCTTTGTCATCTCAAGATTGTTATAGTAACATGCTCTACATGAGGCTATACCTCAGTCAACCTGGAAAATGAAGCTGGTGCAGAGTGCAGAATTTTGGTAGGAGCATGTAACGTGTGCTCTGTGATCTGTGCTATCTGCCTTTTGATTTTTGGGTAGAATTTAAGGTGTTACTTTTTATCTGAAAAACCCTAAATGGTTTGGATCCTGTGTACTTGAGAAACTGCCTCTTTCACCTTCTCACAGTTGCTCAGATTAGAATCCTGTTAATATAAAGGAGAGGGAGATGCCAGCAGGGTGTTCTCTGTTAGGGCCCTCAGCTTTGGAGAACACTTCTTTCCTTTGTGGGCCAAAACAGCCCGAATATGGTGACCTTTTGAGCATGCTTCAAGGCCTGTCTATTTAGCCTGGGTTTTGGGGATAGAGGAGATGATATAGGTTGTTTGTGTGGGGTAAAGGAAATTTTTTTACTGTGGTTAGTTATTTCAGGTATGAAGGCGAGCAGCTGTTGGCTTCACCTTTGTTATTTTTGTAATTTTAAATGTTGGTCATGTTAAAACTTGAAAGACATTTAAAAAAATAATGTATTCCCTCAACCAAGTGTGCAGATATCCCCCTTGCTGACATTACTTCGGTTTTGTCTGTTTTAAGACTCAACCACTTTACCTTTATCCATTCTCCAAATTCATAACTGCATTGGGTTATTCATTCCACTGCACCAACTGGATCAGTTGTGGGGGAAATATGAAGCTGATTCTCATCAGTTGTTGCAACTCATATTTCCATATTAACTCTGTTAATATAGTAAATGAGTTGAACAACAGGGGTGACAAAATTAGCCCCGGTAAAAATCCCAGTTTTGACAGAAGGAACAAACTTTTGTCCCAAACCACTCTTAGGGACCTCCCTGATAAAAATGATTCAAGGGCAGGTCTGTTGACTGCTGTTCATGACTGCAGATATACCAATAAAATGTTGTAGTAATTGGTGTTGTTTGCAGCTGACAGATCCAATAATATCAGCATGGACACTTAATCCTTATCAATTACTATGAAATCATTCACCAGTGCAGTTTTTATATCATATCAGGTCTAAAGCCTGATTGACTGAGATCTCTGAAATCTGAGGACTCGAGATTGCCTGGGTGTCTGCCACAACTTTCTTATGGACCTTCCCCAAAAGTGAGCGGGTCAGAGCAGGTTGATAGGTGACAAGATCATTGACATGTTATTGTTTCTTAAGCAGTTTTCTTAAGAACATCAGGTACCCTGTCCTCTTTCCCCTTTAGGGGGATATTAACAATCTTCACCAATAATGAACCTAGTACATCCCTGCTGGCTTTTTCCACACATGAAGTACATAGACCCCACATGCAGGTGGTGGAAAAGATACTTGCAAAGTCTTGGTGGGCAAGACTAATTGATATTCAGGCAGAGCTTGAGAGGCATTTCTTCTCTCAGCGCTATCAGAGAAATGCTACTGTAGCAGCTCAGTTTGTGAGGGTGATCAAGGGAACACTGGGGGGTTACATATCACACTGGGAGACCAACAAATGGTGTACACATCACATGGAGAGGACAGCCAAAGAAGCTGTGGAGCTGCTGATCAAAGGAAAACAACTAGTATGGATAAGAGAAATAAACAGAAGCAGATAGTTCATTTTAGGGTGGAAATTAGGAGCCTGTTTCTTCATTGCCTTTCACGTTGGATAGTCATTTACATCTCTACAAAATGCTACTAGTGTAAATTAATGAAAATTTTGGGCTTGTCACTGTCTGTCTTTGCACTCAGTTTAGTGTAAATAAATATTTCTGCTGTGAAATGCCTCCAGTTTATATCTTTTAAGGTTAAGAAAAGTAAAATGTCTTTGTTCTTCCTGGTCCTAGTAGATTGACGATCTGAAGAAGAAAAACCATGATTTAGAGCAACATGTTACGGAACTGCTTGATGATAAGCAGGTGGTGGAGAGTCAGGTGGATAGTTTGACCAATAAGAATGAGTATCTGTGTAAAGAACTTGCTGTAGTTGACAAATTAGCTGAACAGCTGGAAAAAGAAAAAGAATTAGTCTTGGATACTGCTGATCAGGAGCTTGAGGAAGCAAAGGTATTAAATGCTAAACAGAATACGTATATTATAGGGGGAGCCAGTAAGTTTTATAAAATTTAACCTTTTTGGATGAAACTTTATAGCCATGGTCTCTGTCTGAAGGTAAATTATTTTTGTTTATTTTTAAATTTAAAATCTTACTCATTTTAAAACTTAAAAATGAATAAAGAAAAGAGGGAGTAATGGGTAATGAAGATTGGAACATTCCAACCTGATAAGTCTTGAAGAGGGCTCCTAGTGTAATGGGTTAAACTGAATGTCTGAGGACAAGGAGTTACGTTTAATTTGGGGAAGAGAAGTCAAGAGGAGGCTGCCACACATCTCATGATTTGTGGAAGTACCACTATATCTGTTAAGACTGTGTAGCCAATATAATACATGTGGGAAGTGCTGCTATAGAGCCTGAAATATGAAAAACTGGCTTCTCTGAGCTCAAAATAAAAAAATTAATTCGTTCCAGAGCAATACGAGAACCCTTCCCTGACCCTAAATAAATTATTCAAGCATATGACTGAACCTTTCGAGATCTTGTATCTTGAATTTATTCAGCAGATGAGGAAAGAGTACCATTTCAGTTCCCTGTATATATGAAAGTGAGAGAGATAACACTAGTGTCCCAGAGCTTGTTGAATTTATTAAAGAGGACCAAATCCTCAGATGATGTAAATTATCATAGATCAACTGAAATAAGTGGAGCTATGATAACATACACAAGCTGAAGATCTATCCTAGGGTGAATATTTAGAGAATGAGTTTTTGTAGTAAATTATCATAGAATATCAGGGTTGTAAGGGACCTCAGGAGGTCATCTAGTCCAACCCCCTGCTCAAAGCAGGACCGATCCCCAACTAAATCATCCCAGCCAGGGCTTTGTTAAGCCTGACCTTAAAATCTTCTAGGGAAGGAGATTCCACCACCTCCCTAGGTAACGCATTCCAGTGTTTCACCACCCTTGTAGTGAAAAAGTTTTTCCTAATATCCAACCTAAATCTCCCCCACTGCAACTTGAGACCATTACTCCTTGTTCTGTCATCTGCTACCACTGAGAACAGTCTAGAGCCATCCTCTTTGGAACCCCCTTTCAGGTAGTTGAAAGCAGCTATCAAATCCCCCCTCATTCTTCTCTTCTGAAGACTAAACATCCCCAGTTACCTCAGCCTCTCCTCATAAGTCGTGTGTTCCAGTCCCCTAATAATTTTTGTTGCCCTCCGCTGGACTCTTTCCAATTTTTCCACATCCTTCTTGTAGTGTGGGGCCCAAAACTGGACACAGTACTCCAGATGAGGCCTCACCAATGTCGAATAGAGGGGAACAATCACATCCCTCGATCTGCTGGCAATGCTGCCCCTACTTATACAGCCCAAAATGCCATTGGCCTTCTTGGCAACAAGGGCACACTGTTGACTCTCATCCAGCTTCTCGTCCACTGTAACCCCTAGGTCCTTTTCTGCAGAACTGCTGCCGAGCCATTCGGTCCCTAGTCTGTAGCAGTGCATTGGATTCTTCCGTCCTAAGTGCAGGACTCTGCACTTGTCCTTGTTGAACCTCATCAGATTTCTTTTGGCCCAATCCTCCAATTTGTCTAGGTCCCTCTGTATCCTATCCCTACCCTCCAGCGTATCTACCACTCCCCACAGTTTAGTGTCATCTGCAAACTTGCTGAGGGTGCAATCCACACCATCCTCCAGATCATTTATGAAGATATTGAACAAAACTGGCCCCAGGACTGACCCCTGGGGCACTCCACTTGATACCGGCTGCCATCTAGACATGGAGCCATTGATCACTACCCATTGAGCCCGACTAAGGTGGATAGAGAGCTGGCTAGATTGAGTCCATTCATCCAGCCCATACTTCTTTAACTTGCTGGCAAGAATACTGTGGGAGACCGTGTCAAAAGCTTTGCTAAAGTCAAGGAACAACACGTCCACCGCTTTCCCTTCATCCACAGAGCCAGTTATCTCGTCATAGAAGGCAATTAGATTAGTCAGGCATGACTTTCCCTTGGTGAATCCATGCTGACTGTTCCTGATCACTTTCCTCTCCCCTAAGTGCTTCAGGTTAGATGAAGTAGTCCCAAATATTTAACTAAATTTTGGGCCCATCTGGTGGGAGAAGAAGAATATCTCACATGAGAGAAGACATCCAGAGCTTCAGATTTTATAATTTATTTTAGAACCAGAAAATCCATGAAGGCCCCAGTTGTGCATCATAACCATGTGAGCAGGCCCTTGTGCTTGTAAGAAGTCCTGTTGGGTTCGGTGCTGTGCATTGAAGAGTCTGCCTGTGTGGAACTGATTGTAAGATTAGGGCAGTAATGACTGGAATATTGCCATTTAAAATGGCTGGAATGAACATTTTATGGTGGGTACTGGGAAGAAGAAAGTAGAATACATCCTTGCTATTTTTTTTTATATGGCCATTCCTGTGCCAAAATGGTTGAGGGATGAAAGTTGTAATAGTTGTAGTTGAAAAGTGCTTTTGAGTATTCCAGTGAAAATTGCTTTTGATTTCACAGCGTGATGAAAAATCACACTTTGTGCATGGATAGTACATTTAGTGTGATTGTATTAGCACTATTCAGAGGGAAGGTAAGTTGAGCTATGCATGTGTGGTTAACGTAACTACATGCTTATCTTCTTAGTCCTTTGGAATACTCAAACTGGTCCGATTTCCAGAAGTTTATTGAAAATGCAGATCCGGTAAAAGGGGATCCTGCACTTTCTTTTTGCTCACCCAGACAGACACTGCTCCTTCTTTGTCCTGATCCTGTACAGTTTATGCAAGCAAAATACTAATTGACTGCACATTTGTGTTCTAGTTAATTCTTTAAAGGTTCATCTTCTTAAATAGCGTGTCTCCAGTCCAACCAACCTGGAAGAGAGTTCCAATTAGATTCTTCAAAGGAATAAGAAAATGGGGCAAAAAATGCTGTATTTTCAGTTTACTACCTGTAAATAAAGAAATGTAATTTTTATTACTTTTTATTCTAGACTCAAATTAGATGCCAGCAAAACAATATTAGAAAGTTGGAGCACACAATCAAAATACTTAGATCTGTAAGTTAAATATGTATTCTTAGTATTTTTGCAGCTATGCATTTATGTAGGTTATTACTTTCAAAGAGCAATTAATACTAGTATATGTACATTTAATTGTCTTTTGGTTCAATGAAATAGAAAGATTATGGAGAATATTTCCGTTTTGGTATATATTGGCAATTCTCTTTCTTTAACTAGACTGTAATATATCCTTTATCTTTCAACTCACTTTGAATTTTTTTTGTTTTTGATAGTCTCGTTAACTTTTCTACAAAATCCAAAATGATTGACTGCTCTGAATACTCCTAAAACAGAATTCTGCATATATGTGAAATACACACAGCCAGTATTTTATCCTTTAAATATTTATTTTAATATTCTATCTTCCCCAAATGTTCATAACCGTAACACTGAACAATGACATTTGGAAATATACATAAACATGTATAAAAGTCTAATAAACAATTTATCAGCAAGAAAAACTTCTGGGTAACAAAATGGATGTATATTATTTGCTTCCAGATTAAATTGGTATAATTAATAGACTCCTTCATTTAACTGGGAAGTATTTTTTTGAATTTATTGAGATCACATAGACCTCTTACCATATTACAGTATTAAGCTTTTTCACAAATTTCCATGTTTACAGTATAAGGCTTTTAGTAATTACACTTGCTTCTTAGACCCCAATCCTTTAATGAGCTCCCTGTGGAAGGACCCCTCTGCAGATCTCACTGCCAGATTAGGGCCTTAGTGGCTCTGATCCTCTGAGTAGGAATTGTGGGAATTAAGAGCCCTGGAGAATTGGGCCCCATGAAACATTTTCCTGTGATCTTGTCATTAAATGTTGCCAAGCAAAATAGCCTTTTTTTGTTGTTGTACCAAATTGAGACACGTATTTATAGCACATGTATCTACCTGTGTGATAAAATTAACTCTCATTGAAATGGGATTTTTCTCAGCCAAAACACAGAAATGGTATACAGATCTTATTTCATGAGTGTTCAACAATTTTTAAAGGTGACTTGTAAAACTAAACATTTGGTTTATCATCCAACAGCAATAAGTGAATATTTTAAAAAACCCTTTCAGGCCTTCTTCCTTGCTTTGTTTCTTTTCCATTTGAAAATCAGGTTTTGTCTATCCTGTTTTTCCTGAAAGATTCTGTGGATGACTGGCGAACTTGATGTAATATAAACCTATTAGGACTCTAATCGGGTCAAACTTGAGTGAAAGAGAAAGTGATTCTTATTCAGTTTAACATCTATTTAAATTAAATTCATTAGAAATACTTGGGAGAAAAGATATCATTGTTAAAGACTCAGCATCTCTGCCTGCTCAAATAAAGGCTTGACACTCCCACCCAACTCCCGCAATCCACTTCTGAGACCTCCGAAGAGTTCCCCCTCAATACTAGGGAAGATGTGCAAGATGTTACTTAACATTCCTGGCATTTTTAAAGTAAAAAAACAAGCAGAAAAATATGGGTAGATCTTCTTTACGCATCATAAAAAAACAAAAATAAAAAAACCCACATCGTTTTTTTCTTTGCAGATGACCTTTAATTAACATAGTTACCTACACTCCAGTTTACTACCATCCTCAAAATTCACCATCCATTACCCACACCAGACAGCCTCATGTTTTTCCTAGTAGTAGTAATAATTAGGGTTGTTGATTAATCGCAGTTAATGTGCGTGATTAATTAAAAAAATTAATTGTGATTAATCGCAGTTTTAATCGCACTGTTAAACAATAGAGTACCAAGTGACATTTATTAAATATTTTTGGATGTTTTTCTACATTTTAAAATATATTTATTTCTATTACAACATAGAATACACAGTGAACAGTGATCACTTTATATTATATTTTTAATTACAAATATTTGCTCTGTAAAAATTATAAACAAAAGAAATAGTATTTTTCAGTTCACCTTGTACAAGTACTGTAGTACAATCTCTTTGTCCTGAAAGTGCAACTTACAAATGTCAGTTTTGTTTGTTTGTTACATAACTGCACTCAAAAACAAAACAATGCAAAACTTTAGAGCCTACAAGTCCGCTCAGTCCTACTTATTGTTCAGCCAATCGCTAAGGCAAACAAGTTTGTTTACATTTATGGGAGATCATGATGCCCACTCTTTATTTACAATGTCACCAGAAAGTGAGAACAGGCGTTTACATGGGACTTTTGTAGCTGGCATTGCAAGATATTTACATGCCAGATAAGCTAAACATTTACATGCCAGGTATGCCCCTTCATATTTTGTCTACCATTCCAGAGGACATGCTTCCATGCTGATGATGATTGTTTAAAAAAATGTGTTAATTAAATTTGTGACTGAACTCCTTGGAGGAGAACTGTGTCTCTGGCTCTGTTTTACCCACATTCTGCCATATATTTCATGTTGTAATAGTATCGGATGATGACTCAGCACATAAAGAAAAGGAGTACTTGTGGCACCTTAGAGACTAACCAATTTATTTGAGCATGAGCTTTCGTGAGCTATAGCTCACTTCAGCGGATGCATACCGTGGAAACTGCAGCAGACTTTATATACACACAGAGAACATGAAACAATACCTCCTCCCACCCCACTATCCTGCAGGTAATAGCTTATCTAAAGTGATCATCAAGTTGGGCCATTTCCAGCACAAATCCAGGTTTTCTCACCCTCCACCCCCCCACACACAAACTCACTCTCCTGCTGGTAATAGCCCATCCAAAGTGACAACTCTCTACACAATGTGCATGATAATCAAGTTGGGCCATTTCCTGCACAAATCCAAGTTCTCTCACCCCCTCACCCCAATCCAAAAAACACACACACAAACTCACTATCCTGCTGGTAATAGCTCATCCAAAGTGACCACTCTCCCTACAATGTGCATGGTAATCAAGGTGGGCCATGTCCAGCACAAATCCGGGCTTTCTCACCCCCCCCCCCTTTTTCCCGGGGACACACACACACACACAAACTCACTCTCCTGCTGGCAATAGCTCATCCAAACTGACCACTCTCCAAGTTTAAATCCAAGTTTAACCAGAACGTCTGGGGGGGGGGGTAGGAAAAAACAAGGGGAAATAGGCTACCTTGCATAATGACTTAGCCACTCCCAGTCTCTATTTAAGCCTAAATTAATAGTATCCAATTTGCAAATGAATTCCAATTCAGCAGTTTCTCGCTGGAGTCTGGATTTGAAGTTTTTTTGTTTTAAGATAGCGACCTTCATGTCTGTGATTGCGTGACCAGAGAGATTGAAGTGTTCTCCGACTGGTTTATGAATGTTATAATTCTTGACATCTGATTCGTGTCCATTTATTCTTTTACGTAGAGACTGTCCAGTTTGACCAATGTAAATGGCAGAGGGGCATTGCTAGCACATGATGACATGGCCCACCTTGATTACCATGCACATTGTAGGGAGAGTGGTCACTTTGGATGAGCTATTACCAGCAGGAGAGTGAGTTTGTGTGTGTATGGGGGTGGGAGGGTGAGAAAACCTGGATTTGTGCTGGAGCCACAAGTACTCCTTTTCTTTTTGCGAATACAGACTAACACGGCTGTTACTCTGAAACGACTCAGCACATGTTCATTTTAAGAACACTTTTGCTACAGATTTGACGAAACGCAAAGAAGGTACCAATGTGAGATTTCTAACCGACCCAAAGTTTTAAGAAGTGCCTTCCAAAATTTGGGAGGGATGAGGTGTGGAGCATGCTTTCAGAAGTCTTAAAAGATCAACACTCCAATGAGGAAACTACAGAACCCAAACTACCAAAAAAGAAAATCAACCTTCTGCTGGTGGCATCTGACTCAAAGGATCAAAATGAACGTGCATCAGTCTGCACTGCTTTGGATTGTTGTTGAGCAGAACCTGTCATCAGCATGGATGCATGTCCTCTGGAATGATGATTGAAGCATGAAGGAACATATGAATCTTTAGCACATCTGGCATGTAAATATCTTGCGACGCCGGCTACAACAGTGCCATGTGAATGCCTGTTCTCACTTTCAGGTGACATTGTGAACAAGAAGCGGGCAGCATTATCTCCTGCAAATGTAAACAAACTTGTTTGTCTGAGCGATTGGCTGAACAAGATATAGGACTGAGTGGACTTGTAGGCTCTAAAGTTTTATATTGTTTTATTTGTGAATGCAGCTATTTTTTGTACATAATTCTACATTTGTAAGTTCAACTTTAATGATAAAGAGATTGCACTACAGTACTTGTATTAGGTGAATTGAAAAATACTATTTTGTTTTTTACAGTGCAAATATATGTAATCAGAAATAAATATAAAGTGAGCACTGTACACTTTTTATTCTGTGTTGCAAATGAAATCAATATATATGAAAATGTAGAAAACATCCAAAATATTTAAATAAATGGTATTGTTTAATCGTGATTAATTTTTTTAATCGCGTGATTAATTGCAATTAATTTTTTTAATACTCAACAGCCCTAGTTATAATATAATAATTAGACACTGCTATATAAGTCAGTAGTTTAATGGTGCTTCCTGTTAACTTGGTGGTAATGTATCAAGGATTAATCATCATTTCCCCATTTTGTCTTGGTGTTTATTTAGCTCAGGATTACCTTTTAAGCAGGAAGCCTTCTCAAGTTGCCATCTAAGTACACAATCTTTGTTATATTTAAGATGCTAAAAGTTTCAAGGAGAACTCTTGTAAAAAGAAAAGTAGTTAAGAGAAAAGATGGAAGAAACTAAATAACTGAACAGCCTGTTAGATCAACTGTGTAGAATTACATACTTGTACTTGGGGAAAGTGTTTCAAAATGTGAAAGTGCAAATATCCACAAGCAGTTACTTCACTTTAATATTTGAAGAGTGTTTATCCACTTTGTGTTGAAATATAAGTGCATTACATTTTAAAATCTTATATTTCAATGAACACATTTTTCATTTTGGCACTTAAAAGGTTATTTTAGAAACAGAATCTGAAAAAACACTAGGGAAGTCTCCTTCAAGACTTGATACCTTTATCAAGACATTGGAGGAGGACAGAGATTATTATAAAAGTGAAGCTGAGAATTTGAGGAAGATGTTTCGAAACACATCCACATCTTCAAGTCCTAAGCACAGCCCCACTCGTAGCAGCATTTCAAAACATTCTTCGCCTATGCAGGTAAGCTTGGAATATATTATAGTATAGTAGTCATTCATTTATTTTGTACTGAAATCCCTAACACAGGACTTGGCTCCAAATCCATGTTCAGTAATAAAATAATCTATTAGTTATGAAAATGGATGGCAAGCTCAGGCAATTCACACATAGCTAAGCACTGCCTTAAGGGTTCTAGATTTACACCTCCTTAAACATGTCTCAAGGCTTACTGTGATTACATTTAAATACTTCCTAAGGTGTTTAATAAAAATAGTTTTGTAATAGTTAGGCAATTAGTAACTCAAAACAAGGTGAATCAAACCCTTTAGTTCCATGATATAAAGTGAGTAGAGAATACTGAGTCAGATTGATAAGAGACTGAGTTTTTGCATATGAAAGAGATTTCCAATTTCCGTTTAATGTTTTTATTTAGTATATAATATTGATAAAATGTATATGCATCTAGTTTTGACTGTGTTCAATCTGTTCAGTGCTGGGCTTTCTTCTTTGTGTGTGTGTATAGTAGTACTTTCAAAACCTAAAGTACTAAGAAATGTGTACAAATTTGTTTCTCATCATTAAACTTTTTTGACATTCTTTAAGGGAATGAGTTCAGATCCAGAAGTTATGAAAATATTCAGAGAACGTGAAGAACTGAAGTCAATGCTGGAAAAATATGAGCGCCACATGGCAGAAATTCAGGGTAACATCAAGGTTCTAACAGCTGAGAGAGACAAAATCGTCATTCTTTATGATCGGGTAATTGTATTCACGGGAGTGTGAAAGACAGTGGAAAAATATTTGCAACACTTTAAAGGAAAAAAATATTTTATTCTTGTTCTTGCATTAGAAATTCAGGTCTCATCTACCCTGGAAGATTCTATGGTTGAAGTTTATCCCTTTTTGGGATGGCACTTAGGCAGGTGTTTAAGTCCCCTTGACTTCAATTTAAGCTCATTCATAAATGCTGCCCTGAATAGGGCTGCTTTCCTGAATTGAAGAATACATACATGAGTCATTGCATTCAGACTTTGACCTCATTACCCACAATGTTGCTGAGGTGCACTTATATCACTAGTCACATGTCTTGTGATTAAAGTTGGTCAGAATTTTTTTTGAAAATGTTGACTTTTTGAAAAATCCAAAATTGAAATAGTTTGATTTGGACATGCCACTGCAGCATTTTACGGGAGTTGTAGTTTTGGTGCCTCATGCTTCTGTTCTCTTCTATAGGCCAAGTTTCCTGGTCAGACTATATCTCCCATGATGCACCATAGTCTTTCTTGACGAGAGTAGGTGATGCATCATCGGAATGTTCAGGTGCTTAGTTTTTCAATGAAAAAAATCTCAATTTTCTGCAGAAAGCAGACTTTTTTTTGCAAAACCATTCAGTGAAAAATCCAATTTTCTGTTAGTTTTGATGGGAATTTTTTTACTAGCCTTATTTGTAAAATATGTAGTCCATAATGCATTAAAGTATCTGTTTCACATTTCACATGTGTTTAACAATAACAGGCACAGGAAGAAATATCCCGACTTCGCCGAGATGTTGTCAAATCCCCCAAGACTCCTAAAACGACTGTGACAGCCCAGGCTATCTTGAGGCGTGTGGAGACAGAAAGGGATACAGCTCTTTCTGACTTCCGAAGGATGACCACAGAACGAGATAGCCTCAGGGAGAGGTTAAAGGTTTGATTTTTATCCCAGCTTGTTATAGCATTAATGTATAGTTAAGATTGTAATGTGGTATCCATTCTAATAAATATGTGGTTAAACTAAATGTATGCAATGAACTTTAAAAGTAACGTTTTGTATGCACTTTTTGTTGTTTGAAACAGATTGCCCAGGAGACTGCATTTAATGAGAAGGCTCACCTGGAACAGAGAATTGAAGAGCTGGAATCAACAGTTCAAGATGTAAGGAAAATATGTCTTGTTTACATATAGAATTGTTATTAATGTCATAAAGGTGACATTTGTGGCTAAAGATCTGTGGGTATAGTTTTAGGGCCTGCTTTTCTAAAGGCACATGTGAGTAACTGTACATGTCTGAATAGTCCCATTTAAGTCGATTTGATCAGATGAGTAAAGCGTTTGTTGGATTGAGCCCTTAATTTATAAAATAAAAGCATTAATAAAGGAAATGCACATATTAAATATATTGTTTCAGAGATTATAGTGTTTGAAGTAAAAACTGGAGTGCATCCACATTGAAGAATGTAATGGAAGCTTGTATTGCTCTGAAAGTGAGATTCTAATATACCAATTAACTGAACATTTACTTACAAGCAGGGCTTAAATTCATCCAGAGCCCACTGGAGCAGAGCCCTGGTAAATATTTTCAAACCTGCAAAAGCCTTGTGGCTTGGGGCTTCAGACCTGTAGGAGCCCTGTTGGTGGGGGAGGGAGCTCCGGGAAATAATTGTTGAGAATTTAAGCCCTGATTTACAAGTTTAAATAGTTGTTCCGTACTCTGCATTCTCTTGGGAATCCCCGTGGTTAATGGACACCCTTTTCTTTCTGCAACTCACCTGATAAATATGGAGATTGGTACTTCAATATTCGGGTCTTGTCATTTTAATGTTGGGAAGGTTGCTGAATGTACAGGAGTCCTATTGATTTGCTCTCAAATGGTTTGACCATTGATCAGAGTAACTTAGTGAATCAGTAAACTAGGAGAGAGAAGAAGGTGGAGAATTTTTATAGTTTTTTTTTTCTTACAGTGTTAAATCTTTAAATAGATTATAGCAGGTGATTTCTTTGAATATTAAGTTGAAACCTTTTACTAATCAAGCTGTCATATTTTTGAAGTGATCTGATTTTAATGTTGGTTTGCAGGGAATCCAAATTGAGATTCTGGACTTACTTTTTGTTTCTGGACTCCAGAACTGAGGGAACTCCAGAGATAAGACTTAAATTGGAGCATTATGCTCTACAGTAACCTATCTGGGTGTCTTTGCTCAGGAGAGAGCTATGTCTTGCATTTTTGATGCAGTGATTTTATTGCACTGTGATTCTTTCACTCATTATCATCATCATGTTACAATACCTTTTGCTGTATCATCCAACTCTGTGATTTTTAACTCTGTTAGGCACCATATGACTTTTATGGTTGGGCATAAGCACCAAACCAAGACTTCCACTAGCGGGGCAACCTACTACTAGAGCTGAAAGATATGACCCAGTAACTCACACTTTGTTTCTATGATTGGTCTCAGGCAAATAGTATAGTTTTGCCAGTGCTGCTCTGTTTCAGGTACATAGATATACTACAAGAAAGACGAAACGCACACTCCAATTTCTTTCTATTGATCAGTGGACTTTGAATCGGGCCCTGAGCACAGATGGTATGCAGATCTGCCTTTCAAATAAAAGATTTACAGTACAAATCAGGGTAGAAATTGAACTAGCAGAAGAAATATTCTATATAAGATATATTCTTCTTAGAGTAATTGCTAATGTCAATTCCAATTAGATGTGCGCGCGCTGCGTGCATGACAGCCTGAAGACTTTTCCTCTAGCGGTATCAGTAGGGTCGGGCTGGGCACCCCCTGGGATCTCGCCTTCTTGGTGCTCAATATAGGGCCCTGCCAACCTGCCACCTACTCAGTTCCTTCTTACTGCCAGTGATGGCTAGCTGGAACATCCCATAGCTCTTGTCTTGGCAAGCACGTTTTCCTGGCAGTGTCCTTTGTCTCCGTTGTACACAGTTGTAGCTAGTGGTAGTTTCTTAAGTTTCCTTTGCGATCCCCTGGCACTGGGACAAGCTTCGGTCCCCAGGCTTGAAGGTGTGTATAGACTGTGGCAGGCCTTCCCAGAAGTGTTCCGCCTGCTTCATGCTTGAAGTGTCTTGGTGAGGGTCATCTCAGGGACCGCTGCAAAATTTGCAGAGGGTTCCGTCTTTGGACCCGAAAAGACCAGGATCAGCGCTTCCATATTTTACTCACAGAGGCAGCTCTTCGACCCCAGTCAGACCCCAGCGCGCTGGAGCCAGCCCCAAGCACCTCCTCTTCTGTGTGCAGTGCGCCGGCACCCGCAAGCCGGTGCCGAGGCAGCACTCTTCCAGAGACCCTCAGCACTGCCAGAGCTCCACGCACAGAGCCATGCCACAGACCTTCGTGAGGCTCCGGTCACAATCTCCGGTACCTCAGAAGAAGAGGAAACCTGACAGAGGTCTTTCCCCAACCAGGCCTAAGGACCCGGCAGATGGAAGGCCCCCATCTGGTGCCTAACCGCCACAGGTTTTGTTGACTCCTGTCCCAGTTGGGGTTCAGTTGTGTCCAGACCCCCATCACTTGCTGACCTGCCACAATGAAGACCTCGAGCTCCCCTCCACAGTGGAGGTGTTTGAAGCTGTCTCGGGTCTCTTGGTGATTATGGTGGGAGAGGTCGCTGGCAATGGTTCGGGCCCTGGTGCAATCAGTGGCCAAGCTGGGGATTATGGGTCAACGTGCACCATCCCCTGCGCACCGCCCTCTGGCACCTGCCGCTCATGTGGAGGAGACGCATTGGTCTCCCAGCCCTCGGTATCGATCCCAGTGCCAAGGGGCTTCGCACCTCTGTGGTTGTCCCAGTTGGAGACTTCAGAGTTGGAAGCAGAGTCATCGCGCTCCAGTAGGAGCAGGAGGTCCCGGTCCCGCAGAAACCATCAGCCCTACCTGGCACCATGGCCGAGTCAGTGGCAAGCCCTATCTCAGTGGCCCATCACCAGAGCCAGGGGTAGATCCAGGTCGGTGTTGGTAGTCTCAGCATCCTTTGGGCTGCCGCAGACACCTTCAGCACCAGGGACATCAACGGTAACGCAGCCGATCACAGTACTGGCATTGACGGTTCCGGCACTGATACCATCTGAGGTGCTGGCACCAACACTTTTGGCTCCAGGAACCTTCCTGTCGGCTTCAGCACCAGAGATCTTCACTCTTTGGGACCCCAGAGGGGCCAAGGGCAGAGATCAGGCTCTGGTTCAGGTCAGTTTCTTGTCCTCTTCCTCCCTGGATGATGCAGTGGTTGGCACATCAACTGCCCCAGCCTTGGAGGACAGCCAGGTTCCACAACAGCTGCTGAGACAGGTGGCCCAGAACCTTAACATCAAGACAGAGGAAGTGGTGGAGGATGCCAACCCTATGGTAGATATCCTTTCCCCTCGTGGGCCATCCCGTATTGCGCTACCACTGATAAAGACTATCGGTGAAGTCACTAAGACCCTGTGTCAGACCCCGGCCTATTTGCCTCCTACCGGTAAGAGATATGAGCAGAGGTATTTTGTCCCCTCCAAGGGGTTTTAACATCTTTATACGCAACCCCTGCCGGATTCCCTGGCAGTGGATGTGGCCAACCAGTGCGAGTACCAGGGCTACCTTGGGCCCTCCCCAAAAAATTGAGAGGCCAAAAAATTGGGCCTTTTCTGGAGGAAGGTGTACTCAAGGTAGTTGGGGAGGTGGGGCATTGCAGCTCCGCATCGCGAACCAGCAAGCCATGGTCAGCAGGTATAATTTGAATACCTGAGGAGTGATGGCAATGTTTGCAGAGTTCCTGCTCCTGCACTCATGCGCAGAATTCTCTGCACTAGTGGAGGAGCGCAAGCTGATTTCCCGCACTTCCCTACAAGCAGCCTTACACGCAGCATATGCAGCTTCCCACACTATGGCGACTGGGGTGGCTGTGAGGAGTTGTTCCTGGCTGCAGGTCTGGCCTCCCTTATGAAGTTTATCAGACAATCCATGACCTCCCGTTTGAGGGTCTGGCCCTGTTTTCAGAAAAGACTGACTCTCGGCTACACAGCTTGAAGGACTTCAGGGCCACCTTAAAGTCCCTTGGGATCCACACTTCCGCCATGCAGTGGAAACATTTTTAGACTGCAGCCCCCGCCAAAGTTTTACCAGCCGCAGAACAGGCAGGAGAGCTCGTGGTGGAGGAATAGGAACTCCAGGAAGAGATCACACCCCTCGTCTGGTCAGGGCTCTGGCCAGTTGAAACCTTCATCAAGCCAGAAGCAGGCCTTTTGAAGGCACGAATGAGAAAGGCGCACCAGTACAAAGACTGGATCCATCCCGCCTTACCGTTTTGTCCCAACTATCCCCTTTCTACCCTGCGTGGTCCCATATCACATCGGACCGTTGGGTGCTCCGCACAATAGAGAGGGGATACTCCCTCCAATTCTCTGCCCTCCCACCGTTCCACCCCCCTTCCTCATCCCTCTTCAGGGACCCTTCTCACGAGCAACTCCTCTTATAGGACATGCAATCGCTCCTATCGCTGGGGGCAGTGGATGGGGTTCCTCAGGAGCTGAAGGGCAAGGGCTTCTATTCCTGTTATCTCCTAATACCAAAAGCCGAAGGTGGCCTCGGTCCCATCCTAGACCTGTGAAATCTCAACAGATTCATGAAGAAACTGAAGTTTCGCATGTCTCTTTGGCCTCCATTACCCCTTCCTTGGATCCAGGGAACTGGTATGCCGCCCTCGACTTGAAGGATGCACACTTTCACATAGCAATCACATCATCCCACAGAAGGTACCTCAGGTTTGTGATCAACCATACCCATTACCAGTTCACAGTCTTCGTTCGGCCTGTCATTGACACCTCAAGTGTTTACCAAACGCATGACAGTTTTATGGCTGCATTCCTGTGCAGGTGGCAAGTACAGGTGTTTCTGTACCTCGACGACTTGCTGATCAAGGGCCGCTCCAGGCTTCAAGTGGAGGCACAAGTTGACTTCATAAAAATGACATTCGACGAACTGGGCCTTCTTCTGAACGTGGGAAAATCAACGGTTCCCTACCACCACAGCAAGGAATTGCCTGAATCTCCTGGAATATATGGCTAATTGTACATACGTAGTGCAACACGCCAGGCTCAGACTCCGGCTGCTCCAATCATGGCTAGCCTCATTGTATCGGCCGGTGAGGGACAAGTTGGACAGGGTCATCCCTCTACCTCACCCAGTCCTGGACTCCCTCCTGTGGTGGCTTGACCCACAGGTAGTGTGTGCAGGAGTCCCCTTCACTGAGCCTCAGCTAGCCCTCTTACTAGTGATGGGTGCGTTGGTCTTGGGATGGGGTGCACATCAGGGAGACCTCAAGACTCAAGGTCTCTGGTCCCAGGCAGAACTTGCTCTCCACATTAATGTCAGAGAACTGAGCGTGTTCCACCTAGCATACCAGACCTTCCAAGCTCATTTGGAAGGGAAACGTGTGTCGGTAATGATGGACAACAGCACAGTGATGTTTTATATAAACAAACAAGGGGGTGCACGCTCCTCTGCCCTTTGCCAAGAAGCCCTCAAGCTGTGGGACTTCTGTGTAGCACATTCGATACACCTGGAAGCATTGTACGTTCCTAGGGTACAGAATGAGTTGGCGGACTATCTCAGCAGGTCATTCCACGGCCACGAGTGGTCCCTGCACCTGAACGTCATGAACTCTATCTTATAACCGTGGGGGTTTCCCCAGATAAACCTGTTCGTGATGCAACAGGAAGTGCCAGCAGTTTTTTGCTTCTTCCTGAATCGCAGCCCAGGCTCCATCACGGACACATTCCACCTTCCTTGGGGGGACCATGTCCTCTACGCATTTACTCCCTTCCTGCTCATTCACAAGGTGCTCCTCAAAGTTCAGAGGGACAAGGCCTACGTTGATAGCCCCAGCCTGGCCCCATCAACATTGGTACACATCTGTCCTGGAAATGTCCGTGGAAGCCCTAATCACCTTGCCCCTCTTCCCAGACTTGATAACTCAAAATCATGGCTGTCTCCAGCATCTGAACCTCAAGTCATTGCAACTCATGGTGTGGTAGCTCCATGGCTGAACCCGATGGAGCTCTCCTGTTCAGACCCGGTCACAGAAGTCTTCCTTGGCAATAGGAAACTCTCCACCAGGGCTACCTACTTGGCCAAATGGAAGAGATTTTCAGTCTGGTCAGTGCAACGCTATCTGTCTCTGACGCTCTTGTCTATTTCCCTTATACTGGACTACCTTCTCCATCTTAAGCAGCAGGGGCTGTCCATGTCGTCAATAAATGTTCATTTGGCTGCCATCTCTGCCTTCCATCCAGGTGGAAAGGGCTGGTCAGTCTTTGCCAACCCTATGATCAATTTTTTCCTGAAAGGTCTCGACAGGCTATATCCGCACGTCCGACAGCTGGTACCGGCCTGGGACCTCAATCTGGTTCTTTCCAGACTGTCGGGGCTACCCTTGGAACCGCTGGCAACATGCTCTCTGCTCTACCTTTTGTACAAGTGTGTGTTTCTGGTAGCTATAACCTGAGCCAGAAGGGTGTCTGAGCTCAAGGCCTTAACATCAGAGCTTCCTTACACTGTGTTCCACAAGGTAATGGTTCAGCTCAGACCCCAGCCAGCATTCCTCCTTAAGGTTGTCTCCCGGTTTCATGTCAACCAGGACATTTTTCTCCTAGTTTCTGATCCTAAGCTGCACATAAGCAGCAGGGAACAAAGACTTCACTCACTAGATGTTCGCTGGGCATTGAGTGAACCAAATCGTTCCGGAAGTCCATTCAGTTGTTCATCGTGGTAGCAGACAGAATGAAAGGGCTTTCAGTCTCCTCCCAAAGGATTTTGTCATGGATCATGTCCTCCATCCGGGCATGCCACGACCTGGTGAAGGTACCTGCCCCTCCGCTCACAGCACACTCCACCAGGGCACAGGCTTCGTCAGCAGCGTTCCTGGCACATGTTCCAACCCAGGAAACATGCAGAGCGGCAATGTGATCCTCTGTTCATACATTCATATCGCATTATGCCATTACCCAGCAGGCCAGATACAATGCAGCCTTTGGTAAGCGGAGCTGCGGTCAGTGAACATTTAAGCTCCGCCACGCCTCCAAATTTAGGCTTGGGAATCATCTAATTGGCATTGACATAAGCAACACATCTCCAAGAACAACAGTTACTCACCTTCTCATAACCGTTGTTCTTTGAGATGTGTTGCTCATGTCCATTCCAATATCCACCCTCCTACCCCCTATCAGAGTAGCCGGCAGGAAGAAACTGAGAGGGTGGTGGTTTGGCAGGGCGCTATATCGAGTGCCATGAAGGTGCGACCACAGTGGGTGTCCAGGCCAACCCTATGGATACTATTAGGGGGAAAATATTCCAGCTGTCATGCACGCGCTTGTATACACACCTAAATGGAATGGACATGAGCAACACATCTCGAAGAATAACAGTTACAAGAAAGTTAATAACTGTTTTTTTCTGCAGTTCTTAATGTTTAGTCATTTTACTCCTATAGCTTGACGGTGAACGTTTGGAACAAATATCAAAGATAGCACTGATGAAAGAGACCATAGATTCTGTGGAAATGGAGATGAAAATATTGGCAAGAAGGGCACTGGATTCAGAAAGTGAGCTCAGCAGACAAAAAGCAGAGTGTGCTTCACTAAGGTAAATAAAAGCATATACATAAAAACTACTGCAATTATAAAAATAAGCATATATCCACTGTTTTTTTCAAAGCTATTCTGTTTATTTAAAGGAGAAGGAGCTTGTGACAGAGTGCTCTCATGAGGGGCCCTCAGATTTCTAATCTGCTCTCCTCCCTTCCCCAGTCTTCACCTTGGTCTGATATAGCCTAGGTTTGTTGACCTTCAGAGCATGCTGCAAGGCATATCTATTTTCTCTGGCTTTTGCAAAAGGTGAAATTTTATGGGGATTGAGGTTTGTGGGGTTAGGGATTTTTCTAGGCGTGTTTAAGGGTTACATTTTGTTGGATATTGTTGAGTCAGCAGCATAACTCCTTTAAGACCTTTGTTTACTTCTATAAATTGAAGTAAATACAGAAACAAACATACATTTCATGTAATAGCCAGGTTGTCAGCCTTCTCAAGCTTCCCTCTCTCTGTCCTTGAGAGAGGCTCCAAGAGGAGGAAATGATATTGGAGCTTCTTTCAAGGACTGGAGCTACCAGCCTGGCTGGAACTTCTAGCCACTACCAAGAGCCACTAGTGGGATAAGAGCCATGAGCCATCCTCACGAGAGGACTACAGGGAAGAAGGCAAGTTAGGCAGCATGTGCAGGAGGAAGAGGGGAACCAAGTGGCAAGGGAGAATGATCAACAAAAGGGAAGCATGTGCAGAGAAGTGGGGAAGAAGAGGACAAGGTGGCACAGAAGCATATACAGGAGGAAAGATATTGTGATTCTTTTCCAAGATGGTAAAAAATCTAATTCCCTTAAACATACTTCAAATACATGTCTACTGTTACTTACAAGTAATTGCTGTTGTTGCCATGTGAATGTTGCACTGTTATAAGTAGGTCTGTAATGGACAGGGGAGCTGCTCCACAGAATTGTGAATGCGAGTGGGGCTGGCCCACAATACTCTCTCTTTTAAGATGTGGCCTACATTAAGATGTAGGCCTATATTATCTGAGAAACTGCTACTTCCTGTTAGTCTCTCAGCTTCATGAGCACCATCAAAAAAAATCTGTGTTCTTTATCTTAATTTAAATTATTTTTAAGATTGTTCTCATACCTCCAAAGTAGCACTAATAGCTCTTTCCAGTTCCAAAGCACAGTATGAGCAGGTATAAGCTTCGCTATCTAGCTCTATCAGTGCATCTCAGTCATGATTTATAACAGTTTGTAACTTTGCCCATCCCAGTCTTAGGCATTTTCTAAGAACATAAGAATGGCCATACTGGGTCAGACCAAAGGTCCATCCAGCCCAGTATCCTGTCGGCCGACAGTGGCCAATGCCAGGTGCCCCAGAGGGAGTGAACCTAACAGGTAATGATCAAGTGATCTCTCTCCTGCCATCCATCTCCACCCTCTAACAAACAGAGGCTAGGGACACCATTCCTTACCCATCCTGGATAATAGCCATTAATGGACTTAACCTCCATGAATTTATCCAGTTCTCTTTTAAACCCTGTTATAGTCCTAGCTTTCACAACCTCCTCAGGCAAGGAGTTCCACAGGTTGACTGTGAGCTGAGTGAAGAAGAACTTCCTTGTATTTTTTTTTAAACCTGCTACCCATTAATTTCATTTGGTGGCCCCTAGTTCTTATATTGTGGGAACAATTAAATAACTTTTCCTTATTCACTTTCTCCACATCACTCATGATTTTAAATACCTCTATCGTATCCCCCCTTAGTCTCCTCTTTTCCAAGATGAAAAGTCCTAACCTCTTTAATCTCTCCTCATATATGGGACCTGTTCCATAACCCTAATCATTTTAGTTGCCCTTTTCTGAATCTTTTCTAATTCCAGTATATCTTTTTTGAGATGAGGGGACCATATCTGTACACCGTATTCAAGATGTGGGCGTACCTTATAAAAGAGCAATAAGATATTCTCCATCTTATTCTCTATCCCTTTTTTAATGATTCCTAACAACCCATTTGCTTTTTTGACTGCCGCTGCACACTGCATGGACGTCTTCAGAGAGCTATCCACGATGACTCCAAGATCTTTCTTCTGATTAGCTGTAGCTAAATTAGTCCCCATCATATTGTACATATAGTTGGGGTTATTTTTTCCAATGTGCATCACTTTACGTTTATCCACATTAAATTTCATTTGCCATTTTGTTGCCCAATCGCTTAGTTTTGTGAGATCTTTTTGAAGTTCTTCACAGTCTGCTTTGGTCTTAACTATCTTGAGCAGTTTAGTGTCACCTGCAAACTTTGCCACCTCACTATTTACCCCTTTCTCCAGATCATTTATGAATAAATTGAATAGGATTGGTCCTAGGACTGACCCTTGGGGTACACCACTAGTTACCCCTTTCCATTCTGAAAATTTACCATTTATTCCTACCCTTTGTTCCCTGTCTTTTAACCAGTTCTCAGTCCATGAAAGGATCTTCCCTCTTATACCATGACAACTTAATTTACATAAGAGCCTTTGGTGAGGGACCTTGTCAAAGGCTTTCTGGAAATCTAAGTACACTATGTCCACTGGATCCCCCTTGTCCACATGTTTGTTGACCCCCTCAAAGAACTCTAATAGAGAGTTGATAGTTGATTAAAAGCTTTATTTCATTTTAATCCTTGGAGCTGTCCGTTCTCTCAAAACCCCGCTAATTTTGTGGGATTCTTCTCAGAAATGGACCAGCCTTCACAATTAAAGATAGACAAAGATAGACTAAGATAAACGTTGGTGCACTATCCGAGATTACTTGAAATATCTGAAGAAATGCTGATTTACTTAACTTTGGCAGTTGTGGTGACATTACAGAACGTGAGAAAAGCCATTTTAATATAAAATGTTTGCATTAAAGCTGTCACTCTTAATACTTCTACAGCTTATTAAATGACAAGACAGAACAGAGTCTTTCAGAGACACAGCGACATCTTGCTAAAAAAAAATATGAATTACAACTTACCCAGGAGAAAATTATGGTTTTGGATGAAAAAATTGGTGAGTTAGATATTTAGCTAAAATTAATGGTAGTATTGCTTTCTCTCCCTCACTTCTTCTATGTTATATAAAAAGTAATGTTTACTCAACTATTTTATTTTATACTATTTTAAGTGTTCTAGTAGTACAAAAGAAAAACAATTAATTTGTCACCAGAAATTCAAAATTAAAATAGTCTTATATTTTATGGCTAGAGGAAAGCTTATGGGTACATCAAAAACCTTTTTTTTTTCTTTCATCGACAAAAAGCAAACAACTTATTTTCTGTTTTTAGAAGGAGTTTTCTCCCTATCTCAGACCAGCATAATTAAGATGGTTATCAATGAAGTTGTTCCTGATAAACTGCTCATACTATTAGTTGAACAATAAGTTTTGTTACCCATTTGATTTGTTTGGGCTCATCAGTAATATTTGCTTAACAAACTGGAGCTCCCAATCCTGCAAGGTGCTGAGATAGCACTTCCTGAGACTGTTCCTTTAATTAAGGATGTAAGTAGTCACAATAAATTTTCAAATGCAGTACAGAGCAATATGCTAAAGACAGGAGTAAAAGAGATGGGTACAGGAATGGCGGGGCATTTGACTAAACTAGAGTCCAGTTATATAGCACTGGATAACTACTTTCTAGATCACAGTCAACATCATCTGCACTCACCAAAGTAAAATGCAGCAGTTTGCAAAAAGAAAAGAAAATTTATTATAGATGGCAAAACCTACAGTTAAAATTGCCCAACGTTTTCTGTTATATGAGATTTTGTTTTCAGTTGCTTATGTGTACCTGTTGTGGTCCCTGGGAGATAGGGGACCTAAGGCGCCCAAAGCTAAAAACCCTCAACCAAGAGGGACCCAGGCCACAAATAAATTCTGGGGACAACAGATGGAAAAAAACAGGGACAGGAGTGAAGGTCAAAGGCTAAAAATTAGGGAACCGGAATGGGAGACAGCTCAGAGAACTCCTGACAGCACCCACTGCTCCTCAGAGGCATCTTAAGGAGTCAGTGGACACTGCCCAGAGGAACTCTACTCGGAGGCGTGACTTAACAAGGGATTTGAAATAGGCCCCATAGTTGCACCCCTTGGAAGTACCCCTTGGAAGTTGTATACTGTTTGTACCACTGGGGCAGGCAGATCTAGGATCACCCAAAAATAAGGGCCCACCCCCTCAATTGAGGGGGAGGAACCACTAAGTCCAGGCTACAAGAAAGTAGTTGGGGTAACAAATGAAAAAACAGGAGCAGGAGTGAGGTGAGAGGTAAAGAATCAGGGATTCAGAAGTGGACACTGAGCAGAGAACCCGTGACAGTGCCCACTGCTCCTCAAAGGCATCCAGGGATAAACTAATGACTGAGGGTGGATTTGTACTGATGACCTACAGGTGAAAGCCTGAATCATGTATAATTATCATGCCACCCCCAAGCCATTTGGTTCCCTCCTGTTGGAAGGTGTGGATGAATGAGGTAGGGGATTGCAGAAAGGGTGGTCTCATGGTTAAGGCAGCTGAATGCTGCCATGGGGAAGTGGATTCTGTCCCTGCCTCTGCCACACAGTTCCTGTGTGATGCTAGGAAAGCCAATAAACCACATCTTTTAAAAGTGGTCACTAATTGTTTGTTCCTCATTTTCTGGGTGCCAAACTTGAGACCCTGGAGCCTGATTTGCAGAATTGATGAGTAATTCAGTCTTGGCGGCACATGTTCAATAAGGAGAAAACAAATATTAAATAGCAGCTCACTGAGTGAGCGTCCCTTATTCTGTACGCTGAATGAGGCAGTGGAAAAACTGTGATAATATAACTAAAGGATGTATGATGATATGTATGCATAAGGAGACTGAACTAAAGTAGCACAGGCAACCTTAATTCTGGTCTGTCATAACTTTTGAGTTACTCCTGGGGGAATTCTGCACCTTGCGGGGGGTACAGAATTCATACCTTCTGCAGATTTCTTGGTTCCCCTGTAGAAAAATGGGACAGCAAAGAAATCTGTGGGGAACACACGCTCCTTCTGCAGCAGCCCAGGTGCATCTGCTGGGAGAGCTGGCAGCAGAGAGCAGATGACCGCAGGGGAGTGGAGGGATGCTGGCCATGCATCCATGGAGAGATGTTTAGGGGGTGGGGCTGGGCACCTGCCTGCATGCGAATGAGTGAGAGAGACTCACTCTGTCCCTCTCCTCGCTGTTGCTGCATCCTGGGTTTGGAGATGTAGGGCTGTGTGAAGCAGCCTCTATCCCTGAGGCAGAGCAGAAATGTAACAACTAAACAGGCTGGCTGCTAATGTTCCCATTGTTTCCATTCTTAGTCAGTTAAGGCTCCTTTACCTTTCCAGAGTGGTGTAAAGGAGACTTATTTTAAATGACAGGAATGGAATCCTCAGCTAGGAAGGTCAAAGTGCTTTCTTGCTTTTTCCTTTGCCAGAGAGGCACAATGGGGTTAGATTGCAGCTCAGGATCTATTTTACTTATCCATTTAAAAAAAATGCAGGACAATGATTAGCAAAACTGTATGACTTTCTTGTGTGGAAGTCTGAGCAATTTAAAACGACATTCTACTTTACAGAACACCAAAATAAAAGTAATCTAATTTAAATGAAAATCCAGGATTATAACTGGAATACAGGGTCTTGGTTACCAAGTATTTGTAACTTAACTTTCATGTGTTTAGGAAATGCTGAACACTTATTGTGATTTTTTTTTCTGTATGGTAATTTAAATAAATTAACAAAATAAGTGGAACTGGTGTGATTATATTGCATTATTTTGACAAAATATGCAGAATTTTGCATTTTTTGGTGCAGAATTTTGCATTTTTTGGCGCAGAATTCCCCAAGGAGTATTGAGTTCTTGACTTTGCAGCCTCAATACTTTTCTTTTAAATGTAGTTGCCTTGTGTGTAATACATATGCATGTAGGCATTCGTTGTGTCAAGAACATTTCATTAGTTATTTCTTAACTACTAAAACTTTTGGTAATTTCTTACAAGTTATAGATAGAGCATGATCTAGGTTTGCTTTATGTAGAGTATGTATGTATGTGTGTAGCTGCACTGCAGCTGTGAGTGTGCTTTCTAGCACTAATAGAGAGACACATGCTAGCTCTGCTCTAGTTAGCACGCTAAAAATAATAGTGTGGACACAGTAGCACAGGAGGTGGTTTGGGCTAGCCACCTGAGTACATACCCAGGGGGTCTGGTGTAACTGTATTTGGGCAGCTAGCCCATGCTGCCCTGGCCACACTGCTATTTTTAGAGCACTAACTTGAGTAGCATTTGTCTATCTGCTGGGATGCATTCTCGCATGTGCAGTGTAGACTTACCCTTAGTGCAGAGGTGGGCAAACTATAGCCCACGGGCCACATCCTGAGCTCCTGGCCGGGGAAGCTAGCCTCTGGCCCCTCCCCGCTATCCCCCCTCTCCCACAGCCTCAGCGTGCTGTGCTGCCAGCACTCTGGCCTGCTGCTCCTGCTGGGTAGTGTGGCTGGCTCTGGCCCGACGGCGGGGCTGCGAGCTCCTGCTGCTCTGAGCAGCATGGTAAGGGGGTGGGGAAGCGGGGGTGGGTGGGGGGGGTTGGATAAGGGGCAGGGGGTCCCAGGAGCAGTCAGGGAGCAGAGGGCAGTTGGATGAGGTGGAGGTTCTGGGGGGGCAGTCAGGGGACAGGGAGCAGGGAGTGGTTGGATAGGCATGGGAGTCCTGGGGGGGGGCTGTCAGAGGGTGGGTGTGTGGATAGGGGTCGGGGCAGTCAGGGGACAGGGAGCGGGGAGGGGGGAGATTGGATAGGAGGTGGGGTCCTGGTGGGGGGTAGGGGCGGGGGTGTGGATAGGACTCGGGGCAGTCAGGGGACAAGGAGCAGGGGATGAGTTGGGGATTCTGAGGGGGGCAGTCAGGGGGCAGGAAGTGGGAGGGGGCAAATAGGGGGCAGGGGCCAGGCTGTTTGGGGAGGCACAGCCTTCCCTACCCGGTCCTCCATATAGTTTCACAATGCCAATGTGGCCCTTAGGCCAAACAGTTTCCCCACCCCTGCCTTAGTGTCGTATAATTCAGTTACAGCCTTCTAAAAGTGTTTTGCAGTATTTACGTGATATTTTATTATGAATTTGTTATTTTTCTTTAGTTACTCATTCTGAATACTCTTGTGTGGAATACTCAATGTCCTTTTTTGGTTTATAATTAGCATTTATAGATCTTTCTCTCTTAAGTAAACGTCTTTCTCTTAACATAACAGAGAAGACCAACGTTTTGCACAAGGACAAGAAAGTTTAATAATACCCAGCTTTACATTTTGTAATTTGCACTCTACTTTGGTCTGTTTTAAACCTATTTCCTAGGCACTTCAATTTACATTATTGAGTTATTATAATTATTGTCTTAATAGTCTTAATATTTGCAATTAAAAAACACCCTAAAAAGGGGTAAATTTGCATCGAGTCTTTAGTAACTTAGGCCCTGATCCAGCAAAGCACTCAAGCACAGGCTTTCAGCATGTGAGTAGTGCCATTGACATTAGTAGGACTATTTCTGTCCCCATCATCATGCTTCAGTGCTTTGCTGGTTCTGGGCCTTAGTTATGTTTTCTTGTGGTTTAGAAGTGTATCAAGCTATGTGAAATGGAAAATAATTATTTTAAATTGAGTTAATAAAAATGAGGCCTTTATGATTATATGTGCAGATAACTTTTTGAAACAAAATGTTTCACAACAAGAAGAAATCCATATTCTCAAAGAAACTATTGCTGAGCTGGATACAGAAAGGGACTCCTTACAAGAATGTGTGGATGAAAAAACTGAGAAAATTTCTTCTTTTCAAGAAACCCTGGCAATTAAAGTATGTTCTTGCATGTAAATTTCTATATAATTTATTATTGATTCTTTAGTTTTAAAACATTTTTCATAATAGTTATATATGCAGAGGACCCATTAGGACCCCCCACCTCATCACTGGGATCCTCAAAAGTGCTCACTGTTAGCTAAATTCTGCTCCCATTAAAGTCCATAAAAAACTCCCATTGACTTCAATAGCAACTGAGTTAGGCCAGTGTGGAGCTCCCCATCCTTAGTGTTTTGTACAGTCTAATTTTAAAAATGACAAAAGATGGGATTTTCACCACTTTCCTTGGGTGAAGCAGACTAAACTAACAGGCTAATAAGTTTCATTTTCAGAAACTTTTTCTTGAAATTCAGACTTAATTTTCTCTTCTAGGGCCCATTTATGTAACCAATACAACCAAATTGGTGATTGTAGTTACAACTTTGTTATCCCTTAAAATGGTTACAGTATATTTCCAGTTTGTAGTGCAAATGGGCCCTTCACAGGGCTCCAGCATTCAACATCTCCCCTTTCTGCAGTCCAAGGTGTGATTGCAACCCAGGTAGATATACCATGCTAACATTGCTAAAAGTAGCAGTGTGGATGTGTCAGAAATGCAAGTAGGTACCCAGAATTCTTCTTCGAGTGGAGTCCCTGTGGGTGCTCCACTTTAGGTGATTGTGCACCGTGCAACTCTAGTCAGAGAATTTCGACAGCAGTACCTGGCTGTGGTGCACATATGCTCTCCCCGCCTGGCACCTGCAGTGGCAATTACCTAGTGATGTGCGGCTCCTCCCCCAGCCCTGTTCCTTCTTAACCTCCCGTGGTCTGAGTCGGAGCTCCAGCAGTGTGTGCACCTGCTTTACCTCAGATTTAGTTTAGTCAAGTAGCTTAGTGCAGTTAGGTTAGTTGGTTAAGAACCTTTTATTTCTTTTTCTCCCGCATTTAAAAAAAACACACCAACAACTTTTTTTCCTTTTGTCCCCTTAAGGGACGTTATTTTTCCTCAGAATGCCAGGGTTACTTGGCCTTAAGCGCTGCCTCTGCTGTTGTGAGGCAATTCCGCTTTCTGACAGACACTTGCAATGTGTTTGGTCCCTGGGGAAAACTCATATGCCCCAGAAGTCCACCCGTTGCCAGTCCACAATTTTAAGACGTGGACTAGGAAAGCAAGGGACCTTAAACTGAAACTTATCCTATTGGAGAAGTTCCTCCGTCCTGCCTCAGACCCAGGCTAGCAAACTTCTCCTGCCGTCCTAGGTGGCTTCTGACAGACCCCTCTCCTCCCCACCACACGGAAGGGACGTGTCTCCTAAAGTACTTGGAAAGAGGAGAAATAACACTAACCCTACCTAGACCATGTGAAAGAGGAAATGTTCCCTGACTCTGTCCACTACATCGGTACCAACCGCCCCACAGCTTAGTACCTTTGAGTCAGCAGGGACCTCTGGTACTGGTGGTACCGTCTCAGCTGCAGACCCTAAGCGGGCAGGCTCTAAGAAGGACGACAGGCACAAGACTGCCTCCTCCACCTCGGCACCGGCAGCACAGACAAAGTGCTCGGTATTGAGCGACTCTGCAGTACAAAAGGCAACAGCACCACCTGCTGGCCCTATGTTGAATAGCACAGACACTGCACCGCACATTGCCACACTGTCCTTGGCACGCTGTCTGTCGGCTCCTTTCCTACTGGTACTACAAGGTCCCCTAGTACCGCCGCCATTCTCTGTACCACCTTTCACACAGGTACCTCAAATGGTACCACAGCCTCAACAGTTCCTTGCTCTGAAGGACCTGAAAATTTCCCCGGTACCGGAATCGCCTCTACTCAGTACCAGTACTGCTTCGGTACTTTCACTACTGCTCACTCCGCCAACTGGAGCCATTTCTCCTTTCTCTAGTGAGGAGGATGAAGATGAGGAAGGGGAGGCTTTTTCCTCTCAACACTCTTCACCTATAGAAGGCAGAGTTCGGTCCATACATCAGGAGTGTCCTAAGCCTCCGCCAGGGTCTGAATTGCAAGGGTGCTATGGTCACCCCTTGGGGCCCCCACCTGTGCCCTTACCACCTCAAAGAGCATTCTGGGACCCAGGGGCAGCTTATAGACAGTTTTACCCCAAACCCCTAAGTGACACCGCGGAGGTACATAGGCACTCTTCACAAAGATCCACAGTGCCAGTGCCACAGTATCAGCTGCCCCTCCCGAACAGAGCCTTGAGGAGATGGAAGAAGTTTTAGCTCAGGAGGCAGCTCATGCCACCTGCACTTCATTCTCACCAGATGAGATGTTATGCCCCATATGCCTACTGCTGGATATGAGTTCAGGAATTTCCAGGAGCTCTTCAAAAGCGAAGATGAGAGACTCCTAGAGGAGGTCTCCGAGTCACGTCACGAGCTCTTGGACATACTCAACATGTCCACCTCCTCCAAGATTGCCCTTTTGATTTACTCCAGAATCATGGAACCCACCACAAATATCTGGCAGACCTTGCTACCATATTAGTCACATGTAAGAGAGTGGACAAAAAGTATTACATCCCTTCAAAAGGAATTTCTATTCATACACCCTCAGACAAATTCATTGGCAAGTTAACGAATGGGGCAAAGAGCATTACTCTAGAATTGCTCCTTATGATAAAGCGTGGAAAAGACTGGATTTACTTGGCTGCAAGACCTGTTCATCAGCCTTCTGGATTGCCAGTTATGAAGCCCTTATGGTGAAGTATGACCATATAAACTATTCCAAATTTTCTGACTTTATTGACTACATACTAGAGGACAAAAGAGAGCAGTTTACATCGTTCATTTCTGAGGGCCACCTCTTAGCTAGAGTTGCCCTTCAAGCCTCTTTTGGACCCTGCTGACGCAGCAGCAAGGACCATTACCATTGCCACCGCCATAGTAATGCACCGGGCCTCTTGACTTCATCTGTAAGGCTTCCCTAGGGAGGTCCAAGCCACGGTCCAAGGTAAAGAACCTTCTGTTCGAGGGTCCAAAACTGTTAGCCGCCAAGACCGACAAGTCGCTCCATTTGTTGAAAGATTCGAGGTCCATGATCAGGTCTCTTGGTATCTGTACACCTGCAACAAAACGCAAACAAGGCAGGTATTGTACATCGCAGTGTCCCAGACAGGCCCCGTACACACAGCAACCGAGACAATACGATAACCAGAGGCACAGACAGAGACCACCCAGACGCAGACTAAGCTCTGCCCAAGCCACCACATCTTAACAACCAACCTCTAAACAGCAGATTTGAAGGTTGGCCGAGGGTTTGCCAGACCTCCCCCAACTTTTGCTGCCAACACTACCTCCCACCAACCATCCCTTTACCAATTGTCTAACACCATTCTATCCAAACTGGCGAACCATCACCTCCAACAGATGTTTACTGGAAATGATCAAGACTAGCTAGGCCATCAGTTCCTCTCCATCCCTTCTACCCACTCTGCCTCCCCATCCTTCTTCAGGGACCCCTCTTATGAGCCCCTCCTGAGACAGGAAGTAGAGCATCTCCTACAAATGGGCATGGTAGATTCAGTTCTGATACATCACAGAGGGAAGGGCTTCTATTCCCATTATTTTTTAACCTGAAAGAAGTCTGGAGGATGGAGACCCATCTTCGATCTCAGGAAGCTGAACAAAGAACACGATACAGGATGGTTACGTTAGCTACAATCATTCCAGCACTGGAGCAAGGGGATTGGTTTGCAGCCCTTGACCTGCAAGATGCATATTTTTACATTACTATATGCCCTACACACAGGAAATTTCTTTGATTCGTACTGGGACAGGACCATTTCCAATATACAGTACTACCCTTTGGCCTCTCCATGGCTCCCTGGGCATTTTCTAAAGTCCTTGCTGTGGCAGTATCTCACCTTCACCAGCACGGGGTCACGATATACCCCTACTTAGATGACTGTCTAATCAAGCCTGACACTCAGGAAGAAGTTGTCGCAGCCATGCACCAGACAATATCGCTCTTCACCAGTCTCAGTCTACAAATAAACCTCCAAAAGTCCATATTGATGCCAGTCCAGAAACTAGACTTTATCGTTGTGCACCTAAATTCTCTAGAAGCAACCGCCTCATTACCTTTTCAGAGATTCACCGCTCTAACGAACCTCATCAATACATCGGTGCACAGCCCAAGGATATTGGCCAGGACCTGTCTTCAGTTACTAGGTCACATGGCGGCAACCGCGTACATGGTGAAACATGCCAGGCTGCACATGCACTGCTTGCAGAGTTGGCTCAAGACAGTGTTCAGGCCACACAAACACAATTTGAATAAAATTCTGAGTATGCCAATGACAGTCAAGGACTCGCTACAATGGTGGAGTCACCCGCACAACATCTGCACAGGTGTCCCTTTCCTTCAGCCTCCTCCCGAATTGATAATCACAACGGATGCCCCTCTTCTGGGGTGGAGTGCCCATCTAGGCAAGCTCACAGTACAGAGAAGCTCTTATGGCCTAGTACAGAGAAGATGGTCTCCTTCCAAATCAACACTCCACATCAATGTACTGGAACTACGCATAGTTCGCAATCCCTGTGCCCACTTCATGCCTCTGATCAAGGACAAAAACATACAGATAATGATGGACAATGTAACCTGCATGTTCCACATAAACAGGGAGGAGCGAGATCACACTCCCTTTGTACAGAGGCCATAAAACTCTGGACATGGTACATACAACACAATGTCACCAAACCAGCCACCTCCCTGCCTCGGTCTCAGAATATCATAGCTGATGCATTAAGTCGAAGGTTCTTGAACGACCACAAGTGGGAAATCAACACCTGCATGGTCCAGTCATATTTCAACTATGTGAGTTTCCCGCAGTAGACCTATTTGCCACAAAAAACCCGCAGCAAATGTCCAGCTTTTTCCTCCAGAGTGGGACTGGGATCGGGATCAGGATCCAACGGCAATGCATTTTTCATTTCATGTCACGCACCCCTCCTGTACGCTTTTTTCTTCTGCCCCATTGCTGTCCAGCATTCTGCACAAGATCAGAATCGATGCAGCTAAAGTCATCCTGATAGCACCAGCATGGCCCAGACAAACCTGATACCCATACCTGAAACAGATGTCATCATGCCCCCTATGTCTCCTCCTGCTTCTTCTAAATGTCCTCTCTCAGGACACGGGTCAGACTCTGCATCCAAATCTGGAGTCGCTCCATCTCAGTCTGGCTCCTCAATGATTCCAGGGCAAGGAGATAACTTGTTCTGAGGACGTTAAAGACATCCTGCTAAACAGCAGAAGGCCCACTGCACAGGCTGCATACCTCCACAAACGGAAGAGATTCCACATGTGGTGCCTAAATAAAGAAATCAACGCCACCACCTCTACCATACCAGTCGTCCTGGACTACATGCTCTACTTTAAGAAATCTGGCCTTTTAATGATTTCACTGTAGGTGAATCTGGCAGCCATTACAACATTCCATGACACAGTGGATGGCGTTTATCTTTGCTCACCCAATTACCAAAGGATTCCTCCAGGGAGTATGCAACCTCTACCCAGAACCCAGAGGCCCAACATCCCCATGAGACCTGACTTTAGTGCTTCGATTTCTCTTTCTCAACTGCCCCATTTGAACCTTTGGCCATGTGTTCTCTTCCTACATCTTCCTTCCTAGTCCCCATCACATCTGCGAGACGTGGGAGAAATTGGTGCTCTTATGGCTGGACCACCCTATACAGTTTTTTCCAAAAACAAGATCAGTGACCTCACCCCAAATTTTTGCCTAAAGTCCTTTCTTCCTTCCACATCAATCAACCTATCCATCTTCCCACGTTCTTCCCTAAACCTCACAAGGACAGGCAAGAAGCAGTTTTCCATGCCCTGGACATCGGAAAGGCGCTAGTCTTTTATCTTGAATGGATCAAATTGTTCAGGAAAACTCCTAGATTGCTCCTCTCCACCGTGGACCGCTCCAAAGGCAAACCCATCTCTAAGCTCAGACTTTCCAGATGTATTTCAGATTGCATTCAGCTCTGTTACCAACAACATGACCTATAACCCCCCTCATGTGTTAGAACACACTCCACAAGTAGACACAAGTTGCCTTCCTGCATGATGTGCCTATTACTGACATATGCAACACAGCTACTTGGACATCTCACACATTCATTTAACACTGCATCACTGGTCAAGTCTCAGCCTCTGACACTCGGTTGGGACACATGGTCTTATCGTCCATTCAGGCCTAACTCTGAAGCCCCTCCTTTCCCCTGAGGGGCACTGTTCTACTGTCACCTAAAATGGAGCACCCACAGGGACTCTGCTGGGGGGGGAGGGGAGAGGATTGCTCACCTGATGCAGTAACAGGTTCTTCAAGATGTGAGTCCCTGTGGGTGCTCCACTACCCTCCCCCTACTTCAGAGTTATAATTAAATCCTCTGTGGTAAGGAAAGAACTGGGGGCGGGAGGCTGCACAGCACTAGTTAATTGCCATTGCAAGTGCGAGAAAGGGAGAGCGTATGTGCAGCCCAGCCAGGTATTGCTGTCGAAATTGTCCAACTATAGGTGCAGGGCGCACAATCCCTGAAAGTGGAGCACGCACAGGGACTCGCATCTCGAAGAACCTCAGTTACTGCACAAAGTGAGTAAGCCTCTCTTCAAAGTGGGGCAATGAAACCCATACCACCTCCTCTACACAGTTACTTTTAGCAATGCTAGTCTCAAGTAAAGCTCACAGGAGTATGTCTGAACTACAATCAACACCTTAGCTTTACGTAACCAAGTGTTACATATTTATCTCTTTTTTAAACTTTCCTTCTAACTCTTTCCAGCACCATGATCATTTTATTGCTCTCTTCTAAACGCCCTTCAGTTCTCGACACTTCATTACCAAAAGGATGATTGACGAGCTGAACATTTTATTCCTGCTTTGTTTATACCAGAGCCATATAGAAAGGGTCTATTTCCTGCCTTTCCCATGAATTGTGGCTTTGTTTATTCAGCCCAAAATTGCATTGCCCTCTATTATTGCAGTTAGGTCTGAATAACAACATCCTTTGCACTCTAAGGGCTTGTCTACATGAGAAAGTTGCACTGGTTTAATTTAAGGTATGAATTTAAACTGATTTAATTAAAACTGGTGCAGACCTGTGTGTGGACACTCTTATTTCAGTTTTGAAGTGTTCAGTTTAGTTTGATTTTGTATCAGTTTAACCTAAACTGAAATAAATCACTCTTAAAGTATAATAAAGTTGTCTACACAGGGATTTGCACCAGTTTTATCTAAATCATTTTAAGGATGTTCAGTACCTTGCAGAATGATCTGTAAGCTAACAGGATAGCCAGCATAGGCAACAACTTTCCTGACATTAAAGCTTTATGAAAAAGAATTGTTCATTTAAGAATTGTTTCTCTTTGAAGAGAATGTGGCCCCTAAATCATGAATGAATTTGTATCAGTGAATCAGCATGCCAGGTCATCATATTTTGCTCCAATATGGGAAAGTGTCTCCATCCAGTTTTGGGCCCTCTTTCCCAGCCTGTCTCTTTCTGCAGCAGAATGAAATTGATTTGATTCTTGTTGGTATCCCTGCTTTCCGAGCTGTCAGCAGAATTAAATGGCAACAGTAAAAGCTGACACTCTAGTTAGTTTTCATTTAGCTGCACTATAGGAAAGCTATGAGAAGATGGAGCTAATTGTCAGCAGTCTTAGGAAGACACACTGTATCTGCTAGCATTTGGTTCACATTCAGGAGATTATCTTTGTAACCATGGAGGATGAAGAAATGTAAGTTCTAAAAAAAAAAAAAAGTTTAACTTTTGCAGAATCTAATATTACTGGTTCCTCCACTCCCCAGTGGCAAGTAGGTGATTAGACCTTTACAAGTCCTGGCCAAGTCAAAGTACTGTATACTATTGGCATAGTGATTCTTTATAAAATGTATGGTGAAGTTTTGCAAAACCAGAATGAGTTTCAATGTAGACAGTCACATCAAGCTGGAGAGCTAACTGAGCCAGAAGAAAAGCAGTATTTCTGATTTTGCTCAATCCTTTTATTAACTGGGGAGAAACAGGTTTACTGAACTTTTTATCTCTTTTCAAGGAAGAAACCATTTCGGGTTTGAAGGATCTCATTTCTGAGATGGAGCAATCATCAAAGTAAGTCTCAGATTCCAGTTATAGCAGCACAGAGGTTTTAGTTTGATAACTATAAAATCTGTGAAAATATTGCATTGTTAGCCAAATGTGGCAAATGGTCGACACTATTATGGTGGGTCCCGTGCTTTTCCTTTGTGTGATGGGTCAGGCTGCTGCCTCTTGCCCCTATTCTTGGGCATCGATGGTTCTGCTAGTGCCCTGGTGGGGGAGGGAAGGGGAGTGGGGAAGGGACCCAGGTCTGCCCTCTACTCCGCCCTGGGGCCCTATGGACAGTGACTAAGCACTTGAAGCTGTAATTCTTTCTCCTGGGCTAGCTCCTGCTCTTCCCCTTCAGCTTCTCAGGCTTCATGACCTCTCTCCTCTTGGGCAGGGTTTCTCTTGGTCCTCGGCGCCTGGGGAGTCCCTCTGCTCTGCTTGAGCAGGGTTTCCCTTCCCCTGGTGTTCTGATCCTCTGGTCAACAATAGTACTCCTCCAAACTACAGTCAGCTGTCCTTCCCCTCTCTCATCTGACTGAAGCAGGGGGGTTTATTAGGCCTCGGGCACGGCCTTACTTAGCTCCAGGTGATCTAATTAACCTGTAGTAACCTCTCAGTCCACAGGGACGAAGGCTCTGATTATCCTGGGACCTCCCATCTATCACTCTCCTGCTGCCCTCTGCTCAATCTCCCTCCACCCCCCCAACACCATGGTGTTGAGCTACTTAGGATGAGAGGCAGTGCTGTCGCGAAAGGCTATCAGCATTGCTGTGTTGGCTTCCTGCCCTATGCTGTCCTGGAATTGGAAGGGTTGCAGGGATAGGAACCATCTGGTCACTCTTGCATTCTTCTCCTTGCTTCTGTGCATCCATTGGAGTGGGGTGTGGTCCGTCATGAGGGTGAACTGCTGCCCCAGTAGGTAATATCAGAGAGTCTTCATGGCTCATGTAACCACCAGACATTCCTTTTCGACGATGGCTTACTGTTCCTCCCTGGGGAAGAGTTTCTGGCTGAGTTACAGGATTGGGTGCTCATCCTCCTCCACCATCTGCAAAAGGATGGGCCCTACCCCTACCTCCGAGGCATCCATCTCTAGGAGGAATTCCCTCTTGAAGTCTGGGGCTATGAGCACTGGATGACTGTAAAGGGCTGTCCTTAAATCTGTGAATGTGTCTTCCGCCACATCGGTCTACTTTACTATATCTGTGCCCCGAGCTTTCATCAGGTCTGTCAATGGCCAGACTCTCGTGGCGAAGTGAGGGATGAATCTGCGATAGTACCCCCCTATCCCTAAAAATGCTCTGACTTGCTTTTTGCAGACTGGTCAGGGCCAATCCTGTATTGCCTCTACTTTGTTCCATTGGGGTTTCAACAAGCCCCTTCCTATTACGTACCCGAGGTATCTGACCTTGGTTAGCCCCCCCACACACTTGGGAGGGTTGGCGGTGAGGCTGGTCTGTCTGAGGACATCTAGCACCGCTTCTACTTTTCCTAGGTGCATCTCCCAGTCAGGGCTATGAATGACTGTCGTCTAAATAGGCAGCGGCACACTTGCCAGGGGGTGTAGTAATTTATCCATTAGTCTTTTTGGAATGTTTGCATTTATTTACATTGAATTTCACCTGCCAGTTTCTTGCCCAGTCACCCAGTTTTATGAGATCCATTTGTAACCCTTCACAATCTGCTTTGGACTTAACTTTCTTCAGTAATTTTGTACCATTTACAAACTTTGCTACCTCACTGTTGACCCCCTTTTCAAGATAATTTATGAATATGTTCAATAGCACTGGTCCCTGTACAGATCCCTGGGGGACACCACTACTTACTTCTCTCCACTGTGAAAATTGATCATTTATTCCTACCCTTTGTTTCCTATCTTAGAATAATAGAACTGGAAGGGACCTTGAGAGGTCATCTAGTCCAGTCTCCTGCACTCAAGGCAGGACTAAGTATTATCTCCCTGACAGGTGTTTGTCCAACCTGCTCTTAAAAATCCCCAATGATGGAAATTCCACCACCTCTCTACGCAATTTATTCCAGTGCTTAACCACCCTGACAGTCAGGAAGTTTTTCCTAACGTCCAACCTAAACCTCCCTTGCTGCAATTTAAGCCCATTGCTTCTTGTCATATCTTCAGAGGTTAACGAGAACAATTTTTCTCCCTCTTCCTTGTCACAACCTTTTATGTACTTGAAAACTGTTATCATGTCCCCTCTGTCTTCTCTTCTCCAGACTAAACAAACCCAATTTTTTCAATCTTCCCTTATAGATCATGTTTTCTAGACCTTTAATCATTTTTGTTGCTCTTCTCTGGACTCTCTCCAATTTGTCCACATCTTTCCTGAAATGTAGCACCCAGAACTGGACACAATACTTCAGCTGAGGCCTAATCAGTGCAGAGTAGAGCGGAAGAATTACTTCTCATGTCTTGCTTACAGTACTCCTGCTAATACATCCAGAATGATGTCTGCTTTTTTTGCAACAGCATTACGCTGTTGACTTATATTTAGCTTGTGATCCACTATGACCCCCAGATCCCTTTCCACAGTATTCCTTCCTAGGCAGTCATTTCCCATTTTGTATGTGTGCAACTGATTGTTCCTTCCTCAGTGGAGTACTTTGCATTTATCCTTATTGAATTTCATGCTATTTACTTCAGACCATTTTTCCAGTTTGTCCAAATCATTTTAAATTGTAATCTTATCCTCCAAAGCACTTGCAACCCCTCCCAGCTTGGTATCATCCATAAACTTTATAAGTGTACTCTCTATGTCATTATCTAAATCTTTTAACTGCTTACTGATTCATGAGATGACCTTGGCTTATCCCATGACTCTTTACTTTGCTCAAGATCCTTTGATGATGGCACTTGTGAAAGGCTTTCTGATAGTCTATAACCACTATAGCAAATGGATAACCCTTGTCCACTTTTGCTGACCCTCCCCACAATGAATTCTAAGAGATTAGTGGTGTATGATTTTCTTTTACAAAAGCCATGTTGACTCTTCCCCAACAAATCACGTTTATCTATCTGTTTGATCATTCTGATCTTCATTATAGTTTCAGCCAATTTGCCTGGTACTGAAGTTAGATTCAGAGGCTTGTAACTGCCAGGATCGCCTTTGAAGACTATTTTAAAAATCAGTGCTACATTAGCAACCTTCCAGTCAGCAAGTGCAGAGGCTGGTTTAAGCGACAAGTTACACATGACAGGATAGCGCGGATGTTGCAGGGGTCCCATGGAGTCCGAAAGGGAGGACGGTGTATTGGAAGAGGCTGTTGGGTATAGAGAAAATGGTTTTCTCCTTGGCATCCTCAGCCAGGCGGATTTGCCAGTAGCCTTTCTTCAGGTCCAGGATGGTCAAGTATTGGGCCTTGCCTAACTGATCAACTAGCTCATCAATGCACAGTTTCGGGTAGGCATTGAATTGGGATATTTCATTCAACTTCCGGAAGTCATTTACAAAACCTCAGGGTGCCATCAGGCTTGGGGACTAGGACAATAGGGCTGGACCACTGTCTGTGGGATTCTGCAATAACCCTGAGTTCTAGCATCTTCCTTACTTCCATCCTAATTTCTTCCCTTTTTGCCATCGGTACTCGGTATGGTTTTATCATTACCCTTGCTCCGGGACAGGTGACGATATGGTGTTGGATCGTTGTTGTATGGCCTGGCTGCATGGAGAACACATCTTGGTTCTGCTGGATCATATCAATGACCTCTGTTCCTTGTTCCGCGATTAGTTTGAAGGATATCGTCTGCTTGGGGTGGAGCTCCCTGGGTGATCAGACTTGTCTCCCAGTCGCACCAGGGTTTCAGTAAGTTGATGTGGTAGATCTGCTCTGGCCTACTGGCGGTCTGGTTGCTTTACCTTATAGTCCACGAACTCAATGACTTCCACTATCTCGTGGCCCATGCCAGCAGGCCAGGAGCTTGCTTTCTGCTGTCGGCACCATCACCCGTTCTCCTGAATGGAAATCTCTGTACTTTTGCCCGCTGGTTGTAATAGGTTTGCTGGGCCTCTTGTGCTTTCTCCAAATGCTCTTGTACTATGGGGGTCACTCAGGCTATTCGTGCTCTTATCTGTGCCACGTGCTCAGTGATGTTCTTCCCTGGGTTGGGCTGTTCTTACCAGTCCTCCTTGGCCATATCTAATATGCTGCGTGGGTGGTGTCCATATAGTAGCTCGAAGGGGGAGAATCCAGTAGATGCCTGGTTAACCTCCCATATCACAAACATCAGGTACAATGGAAGAGTATCCCAGTCTTCTGTCCTGGGCCACCACCTTCTGGATCGTGCTCCTGAGGGTACAATTAAATCGCTCAACCAGGTCATCTGTTTGAGGATGGTAGACTGAGGTCTGCAGGGCCTGGCTGCAGACTAGGATACATAAGTCCTTCATTAATTTCTACATGAAGGGAGTTCCTTGGTTGGTCAGGATCTCCTTAGGGATGCCCACTCTAGTGAAAACCTGGAGCAGTCATTTTGCTATTGCCTTGGACGTGGGGCTTCTTAGCAGAATGGCTTCTGGGTACCATGTGGCATAGTCAAGGATGACAGGTATGCTTTGGTGGCCCTATGCCAATCTTTCTAGTGGGCCCACTAGGTCCATGGCTGTCCTTTCGAAAGGGACTTCAATAACAGGCAAGGGCACCAATGGGGCCTGTAAATAAGGTTCAGGGCTGTGAAACTGGCATTCTGGGCAGGAGGCGCAATAGCGCTGGACTTCCGCTCATACCCCTGGCCAGTAAAGCCTCCTTAGGACTCTATCCAGGGTCTAATCTACTCCTAGCTGTCCCCCAAATAAATGGCTGTGCGCTAGCTCTAACACTTCCCTTGTGTGCTTCCGTGGTACTAAGAGCTGCTTTACTTCCCCCCCTGTATTTGCACTACCTGGTACAAGAGATTGTGTTTGATCACATAGTACGGCCCTGGGCCTTTGATTTTTCCCCTCCATGGACATGCTGTTTACCTCCACTACCTCCTCCCTCACGTTTGCATATAGCAGGTCGTAGGCTTGGTC